TTTTTTTTTTTTTTTTTTTTTTTTTTTTTTTTTTTTTTTTTTTTTTTTTTTTTTTTTTTTTTTTAGGGAAGGATGTAGAAGGATGTAGGATGTAGAAGGATGCCTTGATTTCATGTACTGAACTCATCAAATGTTTATTAAACATCTATTAAACTAATCCATGGATTTAAGTATATACTGGTATTCCAAAATACAAATTATTCTCATTTCCTTGAAGACCTGTGATAACCATTTGTGACTRTATATTCCTTAAATATTTTTCAATCATTATGCATCTATTGTTTATTAGCATTTTTGTAGATATATTTGCACCTTGCAAGCTCTTGTATACTTATTAATGAGTTGCTTATAGCTCTAAATAGATGGGGGGAAAGATAGCAAAATTATCTAATTTAATCTGGTGGTCTAAACAGAAAGATTATAGATGACGTCCACAATGGACAGCAATCTTGATTTTTTAAAATTTAAGACTTATCATAGGGGGAGAAGGAGAACTCATACACCCATGAAATATATCTTTTAATACTGAAAATACACATTGGAGTGTTTCAAACTAGCTTATTACATAGCAGTGAAGGAAAATAATAACCTCTCTTTTAAAACCGTTTTTATTAGTGCATTATACATAATAGTGGGGTTCATTTTGACATCTTCATTCATGCATATAATATAGTTTGCTCCATCTCAGCCCCCACCTTCAGTCCACCTTCCCTTCTCTCCTCCCTCTTCCTATTTCCCTCTCTCTACTTCACTGTTCTTCCTTCTATTTATTTATTGTTTTTAAATTGATGCTTTATAGATATACATAAAATGGAGATAATTGTGATACATTCATACATATACATAGTGTAATTTAGTCAATTTCTTTCTGCAATTCCTCCCCTTTCCCCATTGCTCCTCCCTCAACTCCTTTCTTCTACTCTACTGTTCTCCCATTTTACATTTTTAAATTTCTCTCTAGCTTATGCATGTGAGTGAAAACAATCCATCTTGACTTTGAATCTGGCTTGTTTCACTTATCCTGATGTTCTCCAGTTACAGTCATTTACCAGCAAATGTCACAATTTTATTCTTTATGGCCRAGAAGAACTCCATTATGTACACTTTTTCTGCTAAAACTTACAATTGTATACACACGTTTTCTTTATCCATTTGTCTGTTTACAGACACCTAGGTTGGTTCCCTTCCTTGGCTATTGTGAATTGCACTGCTATAAACATTGGTATGCATATATCACTGTAATATACTGATTTTAGTTCTTCTGGGTAAATACCGAGGAGTGGAATAGTTGGTCATATGGTAGTTCCATTCCTGGTCTTTGGAGGAGTTTCATTTCCAAAGTGGTAGTACTCATTTGCAGTAGTACCAACCACGTAACCTCTTTAATTCCTTTTGCAAAGCCATCACTGCTGTGAGGACCAATGTTGCTAATCTCAGTGACGCCGCATTGTGGAAGATCAAGAGGGCTCGCTTTGCAAGGAACCGCCAGAAGAGCGTGCGATCTCTGAGGGACAGTGTGAAAGGACCTGCAGAATCCAAGAGGGCACTGTCCCTCCCTGAGACTCTGACCTCCAAAATTCGTTGAGTATATTCTTCCATTCTTCATTAAATCTGTTTATGTCTTTCTGAGGCTGATGTGTCTTGTTGAATGTTCACAGAGAGTAGCAAATTTGGCAAACTGAGCTTGTTCAACAAGTTTGGCTTTTAGATTCCCTAGAAAATCACCAGGGATGTAAATGGGTGCAGCAAAGCCTGATCCAGTGGCAAATTGTCTTGAAATGTAGAAGGCAGCAAATTCACTGAAGCTTGGCATGAAACTTGGTTTCTAAGTTCTAGAATGTGAAAGTATGCACACCAGCCTTGTAACTTAAGCACTTTTCTGAATAAGATGTAGATGTTTAGATCTGTGCAGCTAGACATGTAGAGCTGAATTTTGGAATGCATTTTCTCCTCATGCATTCTAGGAGAAGCCACGTGAGCCCTCAAACCAGTAATCATGGTTGCTTTTGAAAAAGAAAAATCAGACTGAGGAGAAGTTGGTTCCTACTCAGCTTCACCAGATAATTAAAACAAGCTTCATTGCCTGTTTTTTAAAAATCATCTATACTTGTTTCATAAAGTTTTTTCTTTATATTRCATTTTTAAAGAGAATAAACTTTCCCATAAATTAATCAATGACTAGATAAACTCTAATGTTTAGCAATGGTACAAGAGTTACAATTAAAAATTCTTAACTAAATCGTCATATTAATGAATGAGTGTGTTTAAATATATTACTAACTTGTTAAAACTATTCAATGATTAAATCTTTAAATAAAGCCTATAAAGGTAATGACACCTAGAACACATTTCTTATCCTGTCAGAAGCTAAAAGATTTGCTTTTACACTGCTATTTCTTAGAAAACAGCCTTATATAACATGATCATTTTTAATCATAAATATKATTTTATTTTATTACATTTTCTTTATTTTATGACAAGCTATGGGAATGTGGTATTTTGAACTTGGGAAGAGTCAATGAAAGCCCTTTAAGTAATCACTAAACCAGTTTTTCAGGAAGCAAAGATAATCACAGGTGACCATTTAGGAATGACCTGGAGTAGTGTGAGACCTCAGAAGAAGCTGTTTCAGATCCTAGAAACCAGTACCTCAATTAAATAAATTAATTAAAAGATCTGTTTCCCAGATCAGTTTCTCATCAGTTTGGTATATGAAGTTTATTTATTATCATTTCCTGTTAATTAATTCACAAGACAATTTTAAAGATTTAAGAACTGAAGTAACATTGAAGGATCTTCTTGAGATCCCTATAAAACCACAAAACTTTGGTTGCATAAACATCATTTATGTAATGTTAATTACAAGTAGGAACTTGTTTCTGCTATCAGTGCAGTTAGCACTGAGTATTTTTTCTAGGCTCAAGTTGTCTGTAATGCTTATTTAAATAGAGTTGTTGTTGATTTTTAAGCTATGAGGTTGACCAGGCATGAGCAGTCTGCTCCAGCCCTCGGTGGGACACCTGAACAAACACCAGGTGGGTACTTCTGACGTTGAAGGGCCGTGTGCAAGTGTGTATCACAGGTGGACAAGGTAAAGAATCCGGTGTCTCTAACTGGACCAGAGTGATATTCTTAGAATCTGAGACTTCCAAAGGGTCTTCTTACCACCATGCTCAAATGTTTGAGTCCCTGATATGGAAATTCATTCCATATTCCCAGCAGATGATTTTTGATCCCTTTAACTTTTGGTCCAGTAAGAAGCATCATATTGTCCCAGTATGCACCTTTTCCCAGAAGCCAATATGACTAGAACTATCATAGTACATATTTCTATGAGTGTTTACACATAGAAATATTATGTTTACATACTTGTCTATATCTGCTATAGACAAAACATACATTTGATTCACATTTTAAGAGGTTATACATTTGAACCACCATCATCCACTCATCATCCCCTTAGCCATTCCTGATTCTTTGCAACTCTACATGCATTTCTGTTTCTCAGAGCAAGGAAGATTTTCATTTTTTTGGAGGTTCATAGGCCCATATTCAGCATGGTACAGTGTAATTTATCATCTGATGTTCCATGATATGTTACAACTTACCATGAAGTAGCCTAAGGGTTAAAGAGATATTGGCAAGGACATTGCAGGCTGAATGTTACCCACACAAATGGTGCCATGACTCACTGGGAAGACGGTAAAGGTTCTGAAAGCCTGCTTATTTGTCAAAAACAAACTTGGTAACTACCACCTGTGTATCATGCTGGAAAATATTTGGTTTTTGATCTAAGGATAGTTGGCAAATTAATCCTTTCAGAATGATATTGACACTCAGAAAGAAAGTTTTAGGTATGAAACTTTGAAGTAGTCTGTATTATGGAAGCGAGGAAGTCAAGAGTAGGAGAGAAGAGAGAGCGCCTCGAAGATCATGAATACAGATGGCAGATAGTGGCCAATAGTGTATTTCCTATTTTAAAATTGATGAGAAAAAATAGGTATAGAAAACACTTCACACAATCATTCCACCTTGATTTACATATTGCTCATGTCTCTTCTTTCTATGATCAAAAAAAATAGAAATAGGAATTTCTGATCTTAAGCTTTATTAGAAATCTGAAATGCATCCAGTTCCCCTGCAGTTACCTTTTTGAGATTGTTACTACACAATTTCCTAAATGTTCTTCATTTTATCACAGTTTCTCTTTTTGTCTTAAGGCTTACTTGAAAAGTTAGTCTTCAATTATTATCTGCTTTAGCAATCCAGCTGAAAGAGTCCTCTCACATCTCCATGGGAAAGCAAACATACAAGTTTCTTGAAGTTAAGAAAAGCCTTCAGGCATCTCATTAACCACCCAAAATGATCAGATGGTAAAGGGGCAGAGAATAGCATTGTTTAAATTAAATATGTAGCTAAAACTTATGGAAAGATAATTTATATGACACCACCATGACTAAGAATTGCTTAGATTCGGAAACAGTTGGCTCAGCTTTTAAGGCAAGTTYAGAATGCTGTTCCTTTTTGCATTATTATTTGCTGGACACTGAATATTTTAACTTTGAAACAAAAACATGCCAGGATAATCATAAGATTGTGCAGATAGTTTAAAATAGCAATTAAATGGAAACTAAAGGACTTGCTATTTCATAAACATACTTTTGTTTGGTCTAAATAATGAGCTCCTCTGTGCAGACCTTTTATTGATTAGGCCTGAAATAAAGCAGATGCTATTTAATTATGTAGCAAGACTTAATTTTAATTGCTATTTAGGCTGAAGTTTTGGGCACTGGATTTATAATTTATGACTTTCTGATCTTAGCCTTTACATAAGGCACACAGCAACTAAAACAGAAAATGCTATTTTTTTATAGAAGATATRTTCTGCAGAGCTCTACAAAGTGGCATTCCTCTGTGATTTTTATGAGTCAAATTAAAGGCCTTTGTTTACATAAGTAAAATTCATAGAATGTTATAGCTGAAACATTAGGGATATGCTAACATTCTCATTTTTCAKTTGGAGAAACTGAGTTTCCCACAAAGGACAAATGTTACAGGCTTGCTGGTGACAGACCTGGGTCTTGAGCTTGGAGTTCTGGAGTTTTCTATTTTTAAGGCACATATGGCCAAGGCTAATAGGCTTTCCACACCTTGTTTTTCTTCCTAATTAATTAAATACGTAATCTTTTAAACTGCTAACCTGAAATTTTAAAATTAGAGATAAGATATATTTTCATCAATGCAGAACCAGGAATTCTTTTTCCTTGGGTATCCAGAACACCTGTTGAAGAATAAACAAACATAATGCAGCAGTTTTATTAGCACAATACTGAACAGTCAACCCTATGAATATAGGGTGCTTAATTTTACCTTGTTCCTCACTTCCTGGAATGAATAATTAAATGATAATAGGTATATAATAATACATACATACATGAACAGTACTATTATGTGTTTATGCAAATTACCTGACTTCTCAACAACTCTGGATATATGTAAAGTATTATTGTTATTATTATTATTATTATTATTCACTGTACAGAAGGACAGAAAAACTGAATTACTGAGGGATTAGTGAGTCTGCTTAAGGGACTTAAGATCACATCTGCCTACATAGGGACAGGACTAACACTAGCATCCAGGAGACTTGGCTTTCTTTCCACTGTAATTATCTTTTGATGAATTGGTCTTAGGGTATTTCTGTCCTTGAGACCTGAGAACACCAGTCTGATTGGGGAGCTGACCTGGACATTCATTTAATCCTGCAGTAGTGTAGCAGAAGCCCACAAGTGTCCTGACCAAAAGACCTTCACCAGCTGGATCCAGAGGTTGGACTCCCAAATGATCCACAGCTGTCCCCATCCTCACAGTCCTTGCATTCTTCCTTTCTACCCCAGCCTGCAGAGAAACCTGCAGATCTTTTGGCCCACATTGGTAATGACAAGAAAAGGGCCCAGTGCTAGTTAGCATTGGTGAAATTTTCTTGCATTGACCTTTCCTGCCTCCTCAATGGTGCCCCAGACTGGAATTCCAAATTTCTCTCTGGGCTCTTTCTTCATTCCTATAAATGKTTTACGACACTGCTTCACTAACCTGCAAAATCCCTATTGATCATTAAATTCCAACAAATCAAAAGAGTACAGTTGTTTTTAAGGAATGCTCTTGTTTGAAATAATATCTTCAGGAAATAACCTTTATTCAACAAACATTTACCATGTGCCTGACATACCAGGAAATGTGATGAATTCAAAGAAGCATCAGAAGTTTTTATATGTTCCACTTGCTTGTGTGTAGGGGAGGTCAAGTATGAACTCTCATCTGGAGTGAAAGTGACAGTACAGGATGGGTCCTGTCAAGTGTAGTGGAAGGAGAGCAGTCTACCAGCGGGAACATCAGGGAGGCWCCTGTGAACAGGCCACTGTCAGTCAGGCTGGGACTGGGGGGCAGGGCGTAAACCCCCTGGTGGAGATACGGAGCACCGGAGGATGTGAAGTTGGCCCTCCGCCCAGCTTTCTAGCCCTTCTATGGCTGCGTGCACGCATAGCAGACCTGCTAGGAGCGACACTGTGAGCTGAGGCGATGACTGGGGAGCCAGGGGGCAGCGCAGTGGGGCTGCTGTGGGAGTCAGCCTCGTTCACAGCGTGGGATCACCAGCTCTTCTCGACCAAACRCAGAGGGGCCTTGTGGAAGGGGCACTTTCTTCCTCCACCTGCTTGTCATTTGCTGCTTTCCTGGAGTGTCAGCGAGTCAACTTACACAGAGATAGTCCCTGTTTCTCTAGTCACTTCCTTGTTATTTTGGTTCTTCATCAATTTTTCTTTAATATGGAAGAAAAGGTCTAAAATATTAATTGAATTCAGTGCACTTAGACATTCATGAACAATTAGCATCTACAATATCAGACGATGTCCCGTGTTCTGTGAAGGATCTAAAGACACAGCACTGTCTTCAAGGAGTGTGTGTTCTTATAAGGAAAAGGCAAAATAGATTAGTGCAAATTCCTGCCTTGTGTAATAGTTATTTGCCACATGAATGTTAGGAAATGCTACAGGAAATTTCCCCTCGTTCTTCTCTTTCTCCTCCCATCTTTCCTCATTTTTTGTCTTTGAAAAGTAAAAGAATTTAGGGATCACATCCCAAATTACTGAGGGGATATATAATAAGAATGGCTTCTGGGGMCAGACCCACAGCAGAAAATAGGGGTCGGGTGGAGGTCGAAAGGCAGAGAGAGCACCGTGAGCAGAGACAACGGTGTGCCGGTGTCGGCTCTGTTCTGAGATCTGCACGCAGCCCAGTGTCTGGGAGCGTGGAGCACTACAGGGGGAGTGACAGGAAATAAGTCTGGAAAAGGGGATCCTGGTCCTGCCTGGTTTCAAGTCATGTGAATCAGTAACGCTGCATTCCACTYTGTGGTTTCATGGGTTACCCCTTGTGACCAGCTGACTGAGTCACACTAAAGCTAGGGCAGGAGTAGCTCTGCCTCCAGGATTATAAAAATGCCTACATTTTTCATTATAGAAACAGTAAAATCAAATCTTTTAACACATTGGATTGCTATGGTTAAGACATCTAAAGGAACTGCATACACTAGAATTCAAAACTAGTGTTTTAATTGTCATGCCTTAGAGAAAACATTGTAATTTAAAAATGGAAATTTTATACCTGTCACAGGTAATTAAAGCAGTACTGTTTATCACTAAGTGACATTTCTGCTTATCTATATTATTTTTCTTGATTTGATTGGGGTAACTTTAAGCTTACTTTATTTTAAAGAGATTAAGATAAGATTTGCAAAAGCCCACAATAGAAAGAACAAATTATTGGAATAAAAAGACTTTTTTTTTTTTTTTTTACCTCTTTGCAAAAGGTCCCATTAACTAGCTCTTTTTTCAGTACACCTGATTTGTGAAGGATCACTTAGTACTGGCTATTCTGGGGAAGCAAACAAGAGCAGCAAACTGCGCACTCAAGCAGCAAAGATCAATGGGACAAGTCTGCAGTGAGACTAGGGTACAGGTGAAAGCAGTACTTAGTCATTAGGAAAACATGATTTGTTAGCAAAACCTAAGGCCACATGTTTAAAGAAGCATTGTGATGGTAGGAAGAGTTTTGGAATATTTAAGCTRCGTCTGTTGGCTTATTTTCTATACTTGACTTGTGATGAAGTGAGCAGGGCCCTTTTTGGGAGCTCTTTTCTTCTACAGCCAGATCCCTAGATTCTCAGGGGTGTAAATTGAAGGTGCAACTCCTTCTCAGGTACTTCCTGCTTCCATTTTTTAATTTTAGGGCTTTGGGGTTGAGTCCATCTGCCTTGCAGGAGGTAGTCAGGACTCAGTGATGCATGTTCCCCTAACCCTTGCCCTCCAGGGCTGAAGAGTGGAGTGTTGAAGCTGTATTCTAACATCTATTGCTTGCTGCTGCAGTAACATTGGACCTTGCAGGGAACCTAGATGCCCATGCTCACATCCTTGGCCCAAACTTGCTCAAAGAAATAATGTCCTTCTAGTTGTAAAGTAATACTCTAAGAGGGAAAAAAAATCGAAAGAAGATATTTTCAATGCTGAAAAGAGTTCTCTAAAATGTTTTAATTTAATTTTACAGGGGTGTCCATAGGCATTGCTTTTGGCCAAATTGTATATTACAGATATTTAGTTTAATTATAATATAGTGAGGCTTCGTATTGCTAACCTTGCATTGAAATTGTTGTTCCACAAAAAGTGATTTCTTTTCTGATGCACACCTGATAAACAGTGATAATATTTATATTTTATTGATCACTCTCTGCACATGAACCACTGAAATAAACAAGTCTTTAGGTTGTATTTGAGTGTTATTTGGTAGAAAAATTTCCTAAAGGACATGCACATATTTATTTCTTTATGGACAAGCTTAATGAGACAGAAAATATTAATGTTCTAAAGTCACACAGAGGAGTGTCTGATGATTTCCCCGACATTTTAAGTTTTTAGACTAAGTTGACTCACTGTCAATTATCCCTTTTTCACTATATTATATATGAACAGACCAACATTCTTCTGATCATCTAGGGAAACTAAGTAATCAAGCTTGTTGCCTTATATGTAGGTCTTAACAAGAAAATTCTGAATTTGACATTAACTTCATGCTCACTGTCCCAGAGAGAAGCGGTTGGGCTTTTGCCAGCTAATTTTTTGGTCCATAGAATTATTTCTTATTTCTTGCTTCTCTGGACTGTGTCCTGGAAGACTCAGATATTGCCAAATTAGTTGGGGAGTTAATAGGTATAAATAGCTTCCTAACTCTTTGTTGCATCACTTATAGCATGATTATAATGGATGTAACCAAGGCTTAAAAAGGTTTGCAACCAAAGTTTGTCGTCATTTAGTGAACTTTTCCTTGTTGCATGAGAGATGAGAATGCTGGTGTGCTGAGCTCACCTCTCAGACAAAAGCTTTGTTTTCAAATTAGAAATTCTAATGTTGCTTGTCAAAAAAAGGATAAGAATGCAATGAGTATTTTGAATAAGCCCCCAAACTTAAATATAGAAGAGCAAAAGTCCTACACCAAACCTGATCACTAGGGGCAGAACAAAGGGAGGCACGATATAATGTCTGACTTTGGAAAATGACAGAGAAAGTCAATGTCAGGAAAAAATTAGCCTCATAAATAACCATAACTCACATATGGTTATTTATGAGGCTAAGCAGAAGCCAAGAGCTCAGGTATTTTTCTTTCCATGTGAACTTCCAGCTCACCTTCATGTGGTGTTTTTCTGTTTTTAAAATTTCATGCTTCTCTTTCTTTCTGTCTGTGTCCCTTCTTATACGTTCTCATTACATATCACAGGGCTTATATTTTGCTATTTGTGATTGTGATTACCTCATTCAAAGAGTACATACACATGCTGATAGCTCAGGATTTGAAAAAGAAAACTTTTGTTTTTTGCACCAGTTGGTTCTTAAATATAATTGAATTGAGGTAGTATTAAACAAAATAACTCAATGGATCTTTTTATGCATAGTGGATTTTAAACTATCATTTTTGTGGTAATTCTTACATGCTTATTTTATAAAGCTCGAATGGAAGCTTCTCTTTATCACTAAGGATAAAATTTTGCCAATGTATTAAAAATTGTTAAATACAAAATTTGCTTAGACATTTGTCTTGTTAGAGGGTAACTTGTTTTATGGTTCCCCAATTTTATTTCCATTCCTTTTTTACTCCCAAGTAAATTGGCGTTTGATGAGCACAGTAACTTCCACCCTGGACTCTGCTTTGCTTAAAAGGCTGTATTGTTCCTTTCAGCTTCTGGTCTAGAACAGAACCCTTAAGTACTTAGCWGAAGCAGAAAAAATGGTGCTTTATCAATGTCAAGTGAGATTGCAGTGTAAACTCACTTGCTGGGGAGCTATGCCCTGACAGTCTTTCTTGTACTAACAGGACAACAGTCTCCTGAGAATGACAACACCATCAAGGACCTTCTCCCAGAAGATGCTGGAATTGACCACCAGACAGTGCATCAGCTGATCACAGTGCTCATGAAGTTCATGGCCAAGGATGAGAGCAGCGCTGAGTCAGATATCAGCAGTGCAAAGGCCTTCAACACGGTCAAGCGGCACCTGTATGTCTTACTTGGCTATGACCAACAAGAAGGTTGCTTCATGATTGCACCTCAAAAAATGCGCCTGTCAACTTGCTTTAATGCATTTATTGCAGGAATTGCCCAGGTAAGTGTGATGACAGCTTTGAGAAGTCAAATATAGGGTTTCCATAGAAGCAAGGCATTAAATTCTATTTAGTGAATATTGAGTGGAATATAAAGTTTTGTGCACATGACTTGATATTAGGCATAGGTATGTGCATATAATAAARATGAACAAGAATTAGTAGCCTGGTACTTATGAAGAGAGTGTATGTGTGCATTCATAAAGTACACGTTAACATAAAATTTACCATTTTAATCATTTTCAAGAGTATAATTCAGTGGTGTTAAGTACTTCCAGAGTGTTATGCACCATCACCAGCATCCATCTCCTGACTTTTGCAAGGTCTTAAACTAAAAMTCTGTGCCCATTAAACAATAAGGACATATAAGATTATTTTGTTTGTGTGGGGTTTTAAGATCCTCTTCCTTTTTGGCTTCAAGTGGAGAGAGTTAGTCATACAACCTACTTCATGCCACACTGTTATCACTGGCTTTTTTTCTGCTACTTCCATCTGCTTTGTCACTTGCTATCTACATGATCTTCCACACTTTATTAACCCATTCCCTCAGTGATGGACACTCATATTGCTCCCACTTCTTCCCTACTCCAGACAGCTCAGTAACGAACATCCTTATGTAGGTACTTATCAACCAATGTGAGAATTCCCTTGGGAATCTGGGTCATGGGCTATATACATATGCCTAATTAGATCAGAGCTACACATGTCACTCTCTAGCATAGCTGCACCAGTCTACAAAGGTGGAGGACTTGGGGTAAAAAGATGTGTATGTGGATTTCAGCTTTGCCATTGTTGTTAGTTCTCATGGCTTTAAACATCCTCTGCTTTCTAGTAGCAGAGATTTATTAGAGACACCGTAGTGTAAAGCACCTTAATTAGTGCCTGTCTCTTGGCAGGAATTCGATGGATGGTAGCTGTTACTCTCAATTGGCTCAAATAGATTGTAAAATAATGAGCATGGATAGGCAAAGTGGGAGGAATTTTCATGTAGTTATCTTGCCTTGATACTAATAGCTGGATGGAGCACCACTAATGCTCAGCTATCTGYGATGAAGAGAGAATCTAACATGTCTTCCTTCCGTTCCTCTTTCCCTTCTTTAAATTCACATTATACATATTTACTTTAGATYTCTATATTATTGAATATGGAGATCATTTTTAATTTGGGGCAACAAAGCCATGCTGAATATCTTTACCCACATACTTTGGAGCTGATTATTCCCTTGGGATATGTTTAATTATTGTGTGAGAGGGTGTGTGCTTTTCCTTACTTCTGAATATATGTTCCTAAATTGCTCTCTTGAAAGTGTCTATTTCTCTACATTGTTACCAGTATGAATTTTTTTTGTTGAGACCAGTTTAGTTCTAGTTTAATAGATAAAATTTTAGTTTCAATTGATGATGAAGTAAATAGATAATTAGATAAGAATTTTCAATTTACAAGTTTTTGATTTTTGTGAGGTTGAACTTCACTTTACATAAACTGGCTATTATTCATATTTTGTGAGCGATCTTAATGTTTTGCCAGATTTTTGTTGTGATGGCTCAAATTTTTCTTTTTGAACTTCTAAGTGTTCTTAGAGTTTTATTTCAGTTACTAATATTTTTTCTATTTCAGGTTATGGACTATAACATTAACTTGGGAAAACACCTTCTCCCCTTGGTGGTTCAGGTGCTCAAATACTGCTCTTGTCCTCAACTACGGCATTATTTCCAACAGCCACCTCGTTGTTCCCTCTGGTCCCTAAAACCTCACATCCGGCAGATGTGGTTGAAGGCCTTGCTTGTCATCCTTTACAAGGTGAGTTGCCACAGTCACACTGTTTTTGGATGTACTTGTAATATATCTTTGAGCAGATTGTGAAGAGATTTGAATCTCTGAGGACTTGGTAGGAGAAAAATTTGACCTTCAGAAGAAGTACCATGATATTCAATCAGTTTTGGGAAGCAGAAGAGCTATTGGAACGAAAATAGTAGCAGGAGGGCTGGGTTGTGGCTCAGCGGTAGAGCACTTGCCTAGCACATGCGAGGCTCTGGGTTCGATCCTTAGCACTACATAAAAACAAATAAACAAAATAGACGTATTGTGTACAACTAAAAAATAAATATTACAAAAAAAGAAAATAGTAGTAGGAGATTGTGTCAATATTTGCTTTAAAATTGTTTTTAAAGGAGCTGAGGTTGTGGCTCAGTGTTAGAGTGCTTGCCTTGCACACATGAGGCACTGGGTTAGATCCTCAGCACCACATAAAGTAAATAAATAAGTAAAATAAAGGTATTGTGTCCATGTTCAACTAAAAAAAATTAAAAAACAATATTTTTAAATGAATTGCCAGTGGCTCAGGAGGCTGAGGCAGGAGATCACAAGTTCAAAGACAGCCTCAGCAACTTAACAAGGCCTTAAGCAATTTAGAGAGACCCTATCTCAAAATTAAAAAAATAAAAAGGGCTGGAAATGTGGCTTAGTGGTTAAGTGCCCCTCGTACAAAAAAAAAAAAAAAAAAAAAACAAAAAAAAAAAAGATGAATTGTGGGGAACTGACCAACGACAACCTCTTATGGTGCACAGAATCTCTTATTTTATCTAAACATTAATTATTATGTCAGAAAACAAAGAATATATTTGAAACTGTATTCACCAGATGTCTGTGCAATATAGTTTTCTTAAAGACAATTGTAACTGTGAAGTCCTTTGTTTCTGTCAGGAGTTTGGTGCAAGAGGAAGARAAATAAGGGCATTATATGGCCTTATAAAATAAGGCCATTATCAGAATCTGTGTTTTTACTTTTCTGTATTTTTTCTTTTATCCCCAAGAGGTACTAAGAAAAATACTCGGCAATATTAAGTGGAAAAACTTATTCTTTAAAATAACTATTTATGTTTTTCTCCCTTCATTTTATTGAGCAGTATCCATACCGAGACTGTGACATCAGCAAGATCCTGCTGCACCTGATTCACATAACAGTCAACACACTCAATGCGCAGTATCACAGCTGCAAGCCCCATGCCACGGCAGGACCTTTGTACAGTGACAACAGTAACATAAGCAGATACAGCGAAAAAGAAAAAGGTACTTTCCATATTGGAATTCTATCTCAAACTTAGCTTGAATATATAACACATTTCTGGAAAGTGCTTTTCTTAGGAGACATAGGTGGAGTAAAAAATACTTAATATTTTGTTACTTTCCTATTAACATTACTGCTTTAACTTCTTAATTTGAGAATTTGAGAGAAATAATTGATATGCTTCTAAAACCCATATAGTAAGAAATAGTTTGTAAGATATTTTCTGCTATTTGGTTAAGGAGCCTTTGGAAGCCTGCTCTTAACATGCTGGAAACATCTTGCTTTGGGGCTGTGACACAAACTTAGTTTTGCACTTAGTGGAATCTTGAGGGTCTCTCTAGTTTGCCCCTGAATTTTATACTCACAGAATTTTCATGTAGTCTAAATTTTCTGAAGCACTTTTCCCTAGTCTCATTATTCAATGTGAAGTGATTCAAGGTGATGAGTGAAACATTTCTGGGCCATAAATTAGAGTAATTTCCAATATTGACACCTTTTTTATTCATGGCTTTTTTCTTAAAGGAGACAGTTGAATGAAACTTTAAATAGAGTAAAAGTACAGCCTGGATATTTTCAGGTGCGACGAAGAACTGAGGTATATATCTGTGAATGTCACAGCATGACTAGAGTTGTAAAAGGTGACATTGTCTAATCCAATCCTGGGAAAAAGCCAAGTGCCTGATGACCCTCTGGGTGCAAGAACAGTCTGAATTCCAGACTGCTCTGGAATATCTCAGTGGGATGGATTATAGCTGAGTTCTACTGTTTGTTTATTGCTGAAAGGTTTAAGAATGTAGGTTCTTCAAATTCTGGAAAAATTTTTAAATCCTTCCTGAGGAATATATTGTCTACTAGCTGAGGTCTTAGTCTCTGGGAAATTGAGTAGGTTTGGTTAAGCTAGGGGTATTCTTTATGCATACTTAGTGTTTGGGTCAATCCCAGTGAACCTGGGTGTGGGGTATCATCTTGCTGTCATTCCATCTCTGTCATACAGTACATCTTGAGGATTATTCCACAGTTATGTCATGGAAGTCATAATACCTATTTGCAAAAAAAAACAACAACACTATTTTTCAAAGGGGGAAAAGCTTAAATAGAAAATGAAGAATTAAAATAGAGCATTTTATTACATTCCCCAGAAACATTGGGATTTGATGGGCTTTTTCATCTTTGTGGGAATTCACTGGGAGCTGTTATAACCATTTTGATTGACAATATTTATTTTTTATTTGATTAAAAAACTACTATGGATATTTCATCTAAAATTAACAGCTTTAGCTTTCATTTTCTTATAGAACTTGTGCATTAAGAAGTGATTGGTCCTTAAAATTAATGCTTATATTCCCCTGTATTCAAGAAATCCTGAATAATCATAATCACACCTGAGCCTCATCTTGTCATATATAGGTATAAATATGGACTACATATTTTCATCTCAGTGATATTCAACTCAAATAGTAGGTTAATTCCATTTACTGTGGTATTAAATGTGTCTAAGCAGCCTTTTCTCTTGCCACTTTGCATGTGGCTTTGGCTTTTCAAAGGATGAAAGAAGATAATAAGTGAACTTTGTGAGTTGCAGCATAGCAGTTCCTTCCTCATTAATGTGTTTTTGAGTGTATTTCTATTTAAAAATGGCCAAATGAGAAAAGAAGAAAGGACATAGAAACAAACTCAGTAGGCACTTTTGGGGACCCATTTGTTTATGGAACCCTAGGATCATAACAAGTCAAAGATTCTTTGTAGGATTCATGAGATCCATAACAGTTACAAATGGCCAGTGACTCAGAGAAGAGTCTTACTTTAATAGGAGGAAATGTTTTTTTCTGTTTTCTTTTTCCTTTGTTTACTCTTTCAGTCCATAATCATTTGTGGAGCTTTTGAGATAACAAGTGGCTTCTCTAAGCTTTTTCTGTGTGTTGTGTGTTTCATTACCAAATGTAGAGTACAGTATTTTGCATTCACAAAGTATAAGGTGCATGTACTGTTAGGCTGTGTCTATGCCAGTTCCCAAATCCCAGGAAGGCATATATTGTTAGAAGGGGCAAGACCCACTTATGTTGTTTGATTTCCTTTTGCCAAATTAGACATTCAGGCAAGTTCAAGCAGTGTCACAGATTCCTAGATAAAGTTACTAGCATCTGTGTCATTTGGTTTTAAGTGTCATTTGGGAAAGTTTCTCTAGGAAGGCTCTTTTGGAATATTGAGATGCCTCTCAAAAAGTGCTGCCAATTATCATTTAGAAAATGATGGGCAATCTTGTAACCAGTTGCTTTGTTCAACATATGCATAATTTGATACCTGGATGAAATATCAACCCAAAGCTAGACTTGGCTGGTGCAGAAACCACCCAGACTGTTCCAGAATGCTTTCACTGAAATGCTTGTGTAGACACAGCCTAAGAGAGAATAACCTCTTAAGTGTAATTTTGACTTTCTCTCCCCAATTAGAAGAAGATAGTGTTTTTGATGAATCTGATATTCATGATACACCTACTGGACCCTGCAATAAAGAGTCTCAAACTTTTTTTGCAAGATTGAAAAGGATAGGCGGCAGCAAAATGGTGAAATATCAGCCGGTTGAGATGAATGTTCAGAGAAGTATGAATTTTTTCTCTTAGTAATTTTATGCAGAAATGTTGTACTCTACCGTTTGTTTGGGGTGAAATCTTACTTTTATTATGTTACTACACATTTTGATACCGTTGATTTTTATATATATGTATGCACAAACAGTATATATATATTCACATTTATATATATACGTGAATTGACAGATACATCATTAACGTCATTATCGTCTTCAAGGGCCATTGCTTGATTTGATTTGTTGCAAAATGTTTGCTTCTCTTCCACACAATTTGAATACAGTTTCCTAGATCTGCCTCAGCCAAAAATGATTCCTTCTCCTGTGCACAAATGAATAGAGCTGAGGAATTATCCCGGAGCTTGATTTGGGGAATCTGATCTTAAACTACCATTTTGGTTTCTTTCATTCCAAAGTTCTCCCATTTTTGAAATTAGAATGAACCTTAAAAATCCTTGGCCAGAAAGTCAGTTTTTCCTTCTGGTGGAGCTGGGATTGTGATTATGATTTATGCCAATAGTATGCCCAAGTATAAGGGGAAAAATGGTGAAATCTCCAAGTAAAATAGTACTAGCTTTTTCTGTTTTAATCAGGTGAAATAGAACTGGCCGAATATAGAGAAACGGGTGCATTACAAGACAGCATTCTGCACTGTGTGAGAGAAGAAAGCATTCAGAAAAAAAAGCTGCGCTCTTTAAAACAAAAATCTCTTGATATAGGGAACGCAGACTCCCTCTTGTTCACACTAGATGAGCATCGCAGGAAGTCTTGCATAGATCGGTGTGATGTAGATAAACCCCCTGCCCAAGCTGCTCACAGCGCCCAGAGACAGAACGACCACGGGCGATCGAGGCAGAACTCTGCTACGAGGCCCGACACTATGGAAATCCCTGAGAACCCAGCTGTGGAAGGTGTTCCAGAGCCCCGAAGGCCTGTGATACCGGAAGTTAGGTTAAACTGCATGGAGACGTTCGAGGTGAAAGTTGACTCTCCAGTAAAGCCTGCTCCCAAAGAGGATTTAGATCTGATAGATTTGTCCTCCGATTCAACTTCAGGGCCTGAGAAACATTCTATACTCTCAACATCTGACAGTGACTCTCTTGTATTTGAGCCTCTTCCACCTCTCAGAATAGTGGAGAGTGATGAGGAAGAGGAGATGGTGAACCGGGGGACTGGTGGCAAGGGTGCCACCTCCTCTCCCCCCGTCCCTCGCCACCCCTCTGCCCTCAGCCTGAGCACAACTCCTCTTGTGCAAGTCAGCGTGGAGGACTGTTCCAAAGACTTTTCTTCTAAGGACTCAGGAAATAACCAGTCAGCAGGTAACAGGGACCCTACTCTCATAGCCCTGGAGGAACCTACAGACTCAGAAGAATTATCTCAGGCAGAGGAGCTGCGAGAGTTTTCCTGTGGCAGCCCACTGACGCTCAAACAAAAACGAGACCACCTTCAGAAGTCATTTGCTGTCCCTGAGATGTCAACAGATGATAACCCTGAACCCAGCACCGAGGAAGAGAGGCATGGGCAGATGCCAAGTTCAGGGCCCAAAACCGTGCTCCTTAAAGTTCCTGAAGATGCTGAAAATCCAACAGAAAGTGAGAAACCTGATACCAGTGCCGAATCTGATACAGAACAGAATCCTGAAAGAAAAATGGAAGAGGATGGAACCGAGGAATCAGAGTTCAAGATTCAGATTGTCCCCAGACAGAGGAAACAGAGAAAGATTGCTGTCAGTGCTATCCAGAGAGAGTACCTTGACATCTCCTTCAACATTCTAGACAAATTGGGAGATCAGAAAGATCCAGGTAAGCTCCTATTGTGTTTCTTCCAGCCTTTATCTTCAAGTCTGTGTATCTTCTTGGTAGAGTTTTGGCACTGAATGTGCATCACACTCAAAATCTTATAATGTCAGACTGTGGCATTATAATCGCTTCGTAATCACTCTGAATTCTTCTTGCTTACCAGATTATGGTGGATTCAGAGGTGGTTCTACTGGCTCCATAAATGTTTCTGTGCTTCTTGTCACTAAACTCTGTAGTCAGTTCTTAGCCACTGTTGGCAATAGAGGCAATGATTAATCTATATCAGGATATTTCAAATGAAATTTCAGTCTTCCTCAAGCAGCAGAAGAGATTAAACTCCTTTTTCTTTTTTTTTTTTTTTAATTTTCCTGTTTGACTTTAGCAAGCTATGATATAGTCCAAAGGACAAACAAATGTGAAGGGCTAAAATAAAGCAAAGAGGGCATGGAATTATTTAAGAATTTATTTTAGTCATTAGGACTGTAGCTGATTACATGTGCTACTATCAGGAAACAGAAATTACCAGTTACAGTCTAGGCCCTAATTCACGGACACCATTTGATGGTGATGAGGGCACAGCACAGATTTCCTGCCTTAAGCAGCATTCCTTGTGTTTTCTTGGAGTCACTGAAGATAACTTTTAGAAAGTGGCAAACTGAGAGTACATCTTATTCTAAAACACAGTCTTTCATAGTATCTCGGTGCTGATTGGAAGGCTGCTTCATTTCTTAGTKCAAATCTAAATGATGATGATGATGAGGAGGAGGAGACCCTTCAGAAAAAAGGAATTAGCCAGAAATAATTACTTTAGTATATTCATAGACTTGAGACTGGTAAAATTCTTGGATTCCTTTAGACTGGTTCCTGATTTTATACAAGAGGATCCCGAGGCATAGGGGAGGTAGTGTGTCTTGTCCCAGGTCACACTGCCAGACAGAAGCAATGCCAGGGCCATCCTCCATCCTCCTGCCTTTCTCATTGTTCCACCTGAAAGCAACTTATAAGAGAATGTGCCCAGGCTCTTTATTTGCCCCAGGTACTATTGAAAGGTTTCTAGCTGTTCTCTAGCTCACAGGACAGAGCTGTGTACCTCAAAGATGCTCTGTGAAAGTCTGTTGAATGAGCACTAGCGTATTTGGAAAGGGTCATGCTCCAGCCAGGTAGGGGAAGAAAAGATCTGTTAATAATAAGAAATTTTAAGAAGCTAAGAAGGTCTCAAGGGAAAGTGGGGCAACTTTTATTGTTGGAACCAGAAAAAAAATGCTGCATAGGGATGGAGAATAGAGCTAGCCTAAAAGCTGTAGAGGTCTATGGGGTGTGGATCCAAGAAACCAACAGGGCCTATAGGATGAGTGTCTATGATCAATAGGCTATATGTAGGCTGTAATATGTATGTTTGTGCATATGTCACCTTCTTTTTTCATCCTTATGTATGATCCTTCCCCAGGGAGGAAATTGATTTTATATTATTTGATACCAGAACAAGAGAAAAATATCTGACAAGCATATATATATATAAAATATGCAATATGCTATCGTAATGACAAGCATACACATTTCTGCCCTACCCTGCTGGGTAGTGAAGGAGGCCTAAGTTTCCCAGGACTTTCTTGTCTCTCTCTGCAGGAGCCAGGGCGGCCCTGCACCTGCTTCTGGGAACCCTCCCATGCTCACAGTCTTGCTGCTCATTGCCTCAAACCCAGGACTGAGCTCACTGTGCACTTTCTTTCTTTGTGTCAGTTCTTGTAAGAAGCATCAGGGTGCTGGGCATTCTTCATCTCCACGAGGCTTGCACACATTCTGTTCTTAATTTTTCTTTCGAGTTTCTCTATCCCAACTCCCTAACCCTTCCCTTGTGTCCTCAGAAATTCAAGGACCTTTAGGAGCAAAACACCTTTATGTTCTCTCTCCTGTGATTGTTCCCTTGGCCTTCTTACTTGGACGTCTGACTTTCCCTGGGGACACTGCTTTTCTCACAGCCTTTGCATGGCTGGGGATTAGGCATCTTCCTTGCCCATCATTACCCACTTCAGACCATTCCTCCCTTCCTCTAAAACCCCAGCTCTGAATCTCCTATCATCCAACCACTTTGTAATGCAGTTTCCTTGCTACCTTGTTACTAACCCTCAGTCTTCTCATTTGCTGGCAGATAGGATTCCTGGCTCTTCTTACTCTCTCCCAAAACACTCCTGCCTTGGTTCTTGTTGATTTCAATATTGGTATAGATGCCTCTTCTAATACTCTGGTTTCTCAGTTCCTTGAATCAATCCTTTTCAGTGATAGATTGTGTGTGTGTGTGTGTGTGTGTGTGTGTACATTTTTTTTAATCCCTCACTTTAGCTCAGCTACTTACTGCCATGGGTCATTTCACAGACAAATACCTGCAATCTTTCCAAGATCTCAATTTTGTCTCCTGTTCTCTGATTACCACTTCCTAGCCCCTGCCCCCAGGCAGTACTATGTCTTGTGCCATCTTTCCTGGCCTCTCCCCTACTTCATGTCATATCTCCTTACTACTCTTAAATTCAGGTCTCTCAGTATAACCCTTCCTTGCCTATACCTATTTGGCTTTTGCTTTTTCAGATTTCCTTGGCCAAACACAACCCTTGTTAAGTCAAAGTCTCCATATACTGGCACCTATTAGATTAGTATTAGAATCAGTATTAGAATCTCCATCTACTGTACCTATTAGATTAATGTGCCTGTATAAAAACACATAATGTGGATGGCCTCATTTTAAATTCACGGCCACAAATCTCAACTGGGTCCTTTTAAAAAATTGGTACTTATTACTTATGCAGAATATGGGTTTCATCATGGCATCTGTGCATACGAAGAAACATGTTTCACTCACCGGCACCTTCCCTCCCTCCCTCCCCTCCTCTGCCCTTCTAATTTGAAGGAGTCTCTTTTTCCTCCCTATTGTTTTTCCTTCTAGTTTCCATGTATGAGAGTGAAATGTACAATAATTTTCTGAGTCTGACTTAATTTCACTCAAAATTGAAGTCTCCAGTTCCATTTTTTCCTGTGAATTATAATTTCWTTCTTCTTTATGGCTGAATAAAACTCCTTTGTGTCTATGTAACATATTTTCTTTATCCAGTCATTTGTTGGTGGACACATAGGCTGATTCCACAACTTGACTATTGTGAATTGTGCTGTAAGAAATACAGGGATGCACGTATCTGTAAAATGTGCTGAATTTAATTGTTTTGGATAAATACTAAGGAATGGTATAGCTAGATCATACAGTAGATCTATTTTTGGCTTTTGGAGGAAACTTTGTACTGATTTGCATATGCACTAATTTACATTCCCACCAACAGTGTTTAAGTATCTCTTTATCCCGCATTCTCCCCAGTTTAATTTTAAAATATTTTTTAGATGTAGTTAGACAAAATACCTTTATTTTATTTATTTATTTTTATGTGGTGCTGAGAATCGAACCCAGTTCCTCGCATGTGCTAGGCGAGCACTCTACCACTGAGCCACAACCTCAGCCTTAGTGTAGTTTTGCTTTGCATTTCCCCAAGTGCTAAAGGTGATGAACATTTTTTTCATATAATTCATTGTACTTCTTTTGAGAAGTACAATGTCTGTTCAGTTAATATGCCCCTTTATTTATAGAGTTGCTTGCTTTTCATATGTTGAGTTTTTTTGAGTTCTTTATATATTCTGGATATTAGTCCTTTGTCAGAGGAGTAGCTGATAAATATTTTCTTTCATTCTTTCAGTTTTCTCTTCACTCTGTTTTCTTTTCAATGCAGAAGCTTTTCAATTTGATGCCTGCCTGCCTTTCTTTCTATCTATCTATCTATCTATCTATCTATCTATCTATCTATCTGTCTGTCTATCTATCTATCTATCTATCTATCATCTATCTATCTATCTATCTATCTATCTATCATCTATCTATCTATCTATCTTTTTCTCTTGTTTCCTGAGCTATAGGCAATCTTATTCAGGAAGTCTTTGCCTGAACCTGTATGTTGAACTGTGTTCCTTTTTTTTTCTTATAACAGTGGCAAAATTAAAAAGTATATTTAGGTCTTTGACCTATTTTGAGTTTACTCATGTACAGGGTCAGCAGGTTCCTTATGGCTACCTGGCAAACATACTTCATTTTCCTGATTCACAGTTCCATTCTCCTAAATGACTATTTCATAGATACTTTTCTCCCTCAATTTTCATTTCCTGTTCCTATTTGACATCATCAGAAGGAATTTTCACAGCCTCCTACCACTTCCTACCTTCCAGTGTTTGCACTTATGCACCCTGACTTCCTGGCTGTGTTCCTAAAGGCACATTTCCTTGATATTTCCTATATCTACTCAAAGATATAGGCACCCCCAAATTCTCTGCTCTTTTTCCTACCTCAGATTTTTTATTTCTAAGGGATTCTTGACTTGATCATACAGAAATAATCTTATATATCTCTCTTTATATATTAAAAAAACCCTCTTGATCCCAATTCTCCCAACTATTATCACTATCTTCAATTTTTTCCCACTGTGTTCTTTCTATGAATCATTCCAGTGAAGTTTCCATTCTTACTCCACCACCAAAAATGCACTTGTCAAGGACACCAAGGACCTTCTTGTTAATCCCAGCAGTCAACTCTTAGGTCTTTCCTCTGACATGTAAACAGTATTTGACATGGTTCATTGCTCTCATTTCATTTGGCTCGCAGGGTCCTTACTCTCTTGGTTTTCTTTTTATTCAGCGGTCACTCCTTTTTATCTCTTTTGTTGGTCCATCTTTATCTCCCTAATGGGGAAGTACTCTGGGGTCTCTTTCCTTGGTCCTTTGCTCTCTGGACACTCTTTTTCTTGATGTTCTTATCTAGTCTAAGACTTTGCATATTGTCTATATGCTGAGACAACTATCAGTTACCTGTTGTTGAAAAAACACTGTGTAACAAAAATCGGTAGCATGTGACAATAAGCATTTCTTTAGTTTGAGACTCTACTGGCCTTCTGGGGATTGCCTAAGCCAGCCTGGGCTGGGGCAGGCTCTGCTCCTCATGCTTGCAGACCTCCGTGGGGCACCATGAGGCCTGGGAGTATTCTCGTGGTGATAGCAGAGCCACAGGAGAGCAAAAGCAGTTATGTAAGCACTTTTCCATTTGGTCATACTATACCTGCAAAAATTTTGTTAGCCAAAGCAAGACATATACAGACATAATCTTATTTCTTATAGCTTGAAGGGGACATATACTCTGTCTCTTTAGTGGGAAGAACTTGGGAATCCCACAGCGAAAGACATCAATTCAAGGAGGARTGAAGAACTGGAGCCACATCTCTCAAATATTACGTGGATGTACTCACTCTAAAGGGTGATCTGTAGTTCACCTGAGATTAAAATGTAATTGAGCATTCTTTGTTTTAATCTGGCAACCTTGATCTGCTTCAAAACATCCAGAACATTACCCCTTATTACATTCACTGCTGTGAGCCGCCAGTAGTTCTTACCTGGCTTAGGTGCTGTTGCCTCTTAACTGGTCTCTCACCTTCTGCCTCGGTTGCCTTCACATCCTCTCAACACAACAGCCAGAGTGATCCTGTAGAATTTGAGATTATGCTTTTCTTCATCTTAAAACCTGCCAGTGGCCCTCCATTTCTTCCATAGTAAAAACGCAAGTTCTTGAAGTTCTTGGAATTCCCAACATGCTCCTCGCCCTCACTAGCGCTCTCACTGCATGTGCCCAGCTCTCTCCACGGCTTCGCTCTGCCACTGTGGCCTCTTGCCAGTTATTGAACACTGTCTACACCTTTCCTCCTTTGCCTTAGCTGTTCCCTCGACCTGGAGCTGCCCGATGCTTGACTCACATCCTCACTTCTTTTAATTCTTTGATCAAATATCAGGTTCTCAATGAGCCCTGCCCTGGATGACACCGCAGTGTCCCACCCCTACCTGACCTTTGCACGCTCACTCTCTCACTCTCTCTCACTTCTCTTCCACAGAGAATTAATCTTCTAACATACAATGATTAACTTACTTTTACACACATTAATTATTGTTTATCTCTCCCACAAAAGTGAGAGCCCTGCAAAGCAGTGATTGTAGTCTGGTTTGTTTGCTGATTGTGTCCCAGTGACTAGGAGAGTGCTGGCAGGTGTCTGATGCGTGAAAGGAGAGCTTCACGGTTTCTGCACAACACTATGAAAATTGAATGCAAATATGTTATGTGGATAACTGTTCTAGTATTTGTCTTAAAATTGTATATAAATAAAAAGTTTTATAAAGTGATTGAAACATCTTGATATACTGCTGATTGTTAATGACTGTCTTACAGTAATGACATTTCTTTAAGATATAGATGTATCAAGGATTTTAATAAGCATAACAAAAACTCCCAAAGTCTTGCTAATCTTTCAAAAAGTTCCCAGAAATTAACTTTAAGCATTTTCACTCCCCGTTCCTGGTGGGATTATTGTGTCGCAGCTGTTGCACACACGGAATGCAGGCAGATCAGGGTGAGAAAGGGAGCTATGCAAGTTTGTGACTTGTCGCTTGGGGAGGATAATAATACCCAATCTTTCCATATCTTGATGACTTAAATAACTTAAAATTAATAACTATTTTGTGCTTTATCAAGATGGCTTGGGAAACTTTACAAGAAATTTTTTGGTTATCAAGAAGTCATTAATCTCACAACTGTATCTACTCAGAAAGACCTGTAAGAATCAAAAATAGTTGTTTCAAAATCAATACTTAAATTTTTTTTCACAGTCCCTCCCCTGGAATCTATTTTACTTTTTTTTCTGACAGTTGAATAAGTTTAATAAGTAGCAAACTTAAATTATATGTATGTATATATGAATGTATGGTGGATTGTTCTATGTCAAGAAAAAAACAACTTATCCCATGCAGATGATGAGATGGAACATTTTTAAGCTTAAGAACTTGGACCATTTAGGGCCAGTCTCCCTGATTAGCAGCATAGTGTATCCATGGAACCTATCATGGTCACTCCAGGCTGGCAGGATGCTCACCATCTGGTGCTACTGAAGATGGCAAGAGAGTCTGTAAGGAATTTTAGGAGGTTTGTTATGACAAACCATTAAGCTTTAAGAAGTTTTAAAGGATAATCTGTAGTTGTCTAGAATAATATGGGACAACTTATTTCCCAATATTGATATTAATAAGACAATAGTATATGCAGAAAATATTTCATCTTAGATATCAAATAGGAAATGAAAATAGCATTACCTGGTGATTCATGCCTATACTCCTAGCTACTTGGGAGGCTGAGGAAGGAGGATTGCAAGTTCAAGGCCAACCTCAGCAACTTAGTGAGACCCTGTCTCAAAAAAAAAAAAGTTTCTTTCTCAACAAATAAAATAYAAAATCTGAGTTAATAGTATTTATTCCATTTCAGATACAGTCCATACTTTTAAATTACTTCTGGTTTACCAAAGTTCATGGGCAARTACACAGAAAGTTACATTATAGTATGTTAAGTTTGCAAAAATTTAAGGGCACGGCGCTCTGTGATTATTCAAGAGGTCACTCGACCCAGGGTTTGTTTGCATTTTTGGAAGAAACAGGATTTTGGAAGTATCCTTGGAACTGGAATTTCTATGTAAATTGAAATATAAATGATGATTAGGAAATTTCCAGACAAAGATGGAGATAGATATTAGATGAAAAGAAATTCAGCATGGAAAGGTGTTTTAGTCAGTTTTTCACTGCTGTGACTAAAGGATCTTACCAGAATAATTGTAGAGGAGGAAGAATTTATATTTGAGGGCTCACAGTTTCAGAGATCTTAGTCCATAGAAGGCTGGCTCCATTCCATGGGGCTTGAGGGGGGCTAAATATTATGGTGGAAGAGAGTGGCGAAGGGAGACAGCTCATATCATGGTGACAAGGAAGGAGAGAGARAGAGACTCCACTTGCCAGATACAAATATATACCCCAAACCATGACCCAATTCCAACCTTCTCCAGCCACACCCTACCACTTCAATTACCACTCAGTTAATTCCTACCAGGGGATTAAATTGTTGATTGGGTTAAGATTCTTACAACTCAATCATTTCTCCTCTCTGAACCTTCTTGCACTGTCTCACATGTGAGCTTTTGGGGGACACCTCAGATCCAAACATAACAAAAGGTAAGTGCYTCATTTGAAGATGTGCATGTTAAACATTCTGAGCTGTAGCTTTGTGGTCATGCTATCATGAATTTCTAAGAGACACATCAATAGATGCAGAAGGTAATGTAGAATCAACTCCTATAGAGCCCTGAAACTTGTTTGGATGCAATTCCCTTCAGGTAATTATTAGAACCAAAAAGTACATTAAGATTTGAGTGGGTTTAATAGACAAGAGTGAAAAGGATATGGAAAAGGCTCTTGAACTTGCTTTTCTTCAGTGTCCTGAGTTTCAAATTATTTTTCCTTTGTAGATCCCTCCACTAAAGGACTTTCAACCTTAGAAATGCCACGAGAATCTTCATCTGCCCCTACATTAGAAGCAGATGTGCCAGAAACAAGTAGTCATTCCTCAATATCAAGTAAGAGTCCTTCCCCTGTGCATTGTTTGGAACACGGTCCTGCTGTACTATTTCGAATTGTGCAATCTGGTTGTTTTCTCTTTAAAAAATATTGTTTTAGACTCCTAGGTGGCACTATGTTGTATGTTTTATGAGACACTGAGGTGTACCACAACTCACTTTTGTCCCTATCTCCTGTGTTTGCTTAATCATGTAATTATTGATTGACCAAGAATCCTAATCTGTTAAAGAATGATGACTGAATTTTATCATTCAATAAAATAAAAATTATCTATTATGAGCCTAAACGTAAAGCATGGAATTGGTTATATGACATGTGGAAATCAATGTTCATGGCAGAATTTTATGCAACATGTTTATTTAATTTGAATCATCTGCATCATTTACAAAATTTTATCTAGCTGATCATAGAATAAACATGCCATATATCATGATCCCAGATCATGATCCCTGAAAGTAAAGATGGCATGATGTTTATAAGATCCATAGGAGGCTAGTGCTTTGAAACTGCCTTCTGTTGTTGAGTTCCAGTGAGGTTTCATCAAGGTGTCCATCCAACTTAGCAGGGTCAATTAAGAGACTTTAGCATGGGAAATCCTTAACAGGAATCAGAGATACAAAGGTGCAACTTCTGCAAACATTTGTCACGTGTGCCAATAAATTCTGTGTTCCATGTGGACACTGCCTGAAGAGCTAATTTTTCTTTTGGCCATCTTTTGAAATGAAAATGATCCTGAAAAGCCAGAAAATGATCTTAACATAAATGCTGGACTGGTAGTACGAACATCATCATCTTCATCATCCATTCATTCATGCACTCATTCATGCATTTATTCAGAAATTATTTACTAAGATTCTGCTGGGTGCCAGGCATTGTGCTTGGCACTGAGGATCAAAGGTGAATAAATAAGATACCCCATGTTTTCAAGGAGTTTACAGTCATAAGAATAATTATAGCTTCCATTTATTTGATACTTCAGATGTGCCAGGCACTATGCTGAATGGTTCATACACATTGTTACCTGAGCCAATCCTTCCATTAGCACTGCATGGCATATTGTTGACCCTACTCTGTAGATTAAGAAATTGAGGTTCAAAGAGGTTGAGTGACTTTCCTAAAGTCATACAGCTACTAAGTGATAGAGAAAGGAATTAATGCAACTCTGTTAGATTTTAGAGCTCAGGTTCTTTTCAGTGTACCACATTGCCTTAGAGTAATTTCAAGTCAACTATGATAGAGATTATGTAAATCCTGAGATAGTTTCCAAGTGACACTTTGCCTGTTTGGTGGCAAAGGAGAACAGCTAGTTCTCAATATAATTGTTCTTCTTTTATCATAAATACCTGTTTGATAACATGATAAAAGGCCAATTTTTAAGTCCACATACCAGAGTCATGAAAATGTGTTTTCTTTTCCTAATTTACATAAATCATTAATAAAAAGATAATGAATACCAAGTAGGTATAATTTGAGATAGCAAGGATGTTTATGTCCCTGTGACTTCAGTGCTGACAAAATGTATTGTAAAGTAAATGTACCAAAATTGTGACTGAACAGAGTCATGTGTATCATGATCCCGAAGTCATGACTGAACATAGCCTTTTTGGATTTAGCTCAGCATATCATTAAATTTCCATCTCCCCTCCTTGCCATTCAAAGCATGTGTGTTGTGACTCTTGGTGGTGAGCTCTTGGAGCCATAATGCCAGGTGCCTTAGACGTTAAAGGCTTTTACTCTCAGAAATTCTGCTGCCTTTAAAAGCAACTCAGAGTTGAGGTTGGAGCTCAGTGGAGAGCACTCACCTGGCCTGTGTGAGGCCCTGAGTTCCATCCCCAGCACCACAAAAACAAATCCAAACTGAGAATTGGAGAAATTTTGCAGTCACTAGGGGTTTTAAATTCTTATTTGACTTAGTATGCAAGATGCTTCTAATTTTTAAATTTGTTAACTCTTTTGAAAGATTTCTGCTTTTAAAAAAATTTTAAAGCTGTACTTTTAAAGTGAGTCAAAAAATTGTGAATTTTACAAATCAACAAAGTTAGACTTGTTTAATATTAGCTTGATTTGTCAATTCCCTGTATTCAATTAATATGGACTCCAAGACACAAGAAATCCCATCACATGCTTCTTGCTCAATTTATCAGCTGATTATTTTGTAGCTAAACATGACCACCATAAATCAAACTCCATGCTAATTACATTAGAAATAATGTTATAATTGATTTCACCTCAACCCAAATTGCTGCCTTGGCTATGACTGTGAAACTTATGTATAACATTCAAGATTTTCCAGGGGCCATATAGTCATCTTGGTTTCTACCATCCATTTCTAGGGCATGTAAGTCATAACTTCATTTTCTCAAATTGTCCTGATAAAAGCACGAAAAACCACAAGTTGTCAAATATTCAATGTTTGAGGTCATGTAAAAAGGCCACATGGGTGATGCTCTGTCTTTCACTCTGGGCTGGTTGTTGGGCTGAGGGGGGACTGTGCCGTGGAATAGGGTTGAAGGAAGCAGGCTGCCTCTCCGCAGTCTGCTGGCAGAGTGCTTTCTGCTGTTTTCCTGTTTGGAATTGCATGTAACTTGACATTTCACTGGTGGGATATTTGCCAATTCTTAATTTCATGATAACAACTTTATCATTGTTTTCTAAAACAAAAATATGTACTAGAATATATTTGTGGAACATTATTCGATTAACATTTTTCAAACAATAAACAAAAACTCCTACAGAGGTTGGAAACAACATTGACTTTGGAGTTGATATGTTCTGGTTTTAGGACCATCTCAGTTGCTGACTGTTTCCATTTGTTTCAATTTCTTTCTCTRAAAATTGGGGTGGGTATATGTCTTCCCACTCCAACATATATATGTGCACACATACATCATACACACATTACAGTTAGGGACTTTATGGGACACACATTGCAGACTAAAACTGTGTACATGCAAGCTCCATTAAAGACAGTTGAGCTATAAATTCAAAGTAGTAGTGTCTGCCTTCATTCCTCTTTGGAATACAGCAGAGTATATAAGGGAAAAAATAAGTGAGAATAATCATAGTTCATTTTGTTGTTACTGGAATATTTATAGGCAGTAGATCATTGCTAAAGTGTACTGTTATTGTCTGAGTAAAGAAAGACACTTCAAACAGCAGAATGCCTCAGTTTTTCCCTTGGACAGGAGCATATAATTTACCAAAAATTATGACTACCAATGAAGGTTCAATTAGGACTCATATGGTTGTGTAGAGCCTTTGTGTGCTTTGGAAATTGATGCCCCCTGGTAATCATCTCCTAATTTCCTTCATATAGCTCAGTATAGGCAGATGAAAAGGGGATCCCTGGGCGTTCTCACAATGAGCCAGTTAATGAAGCGACAGCTGGAACATCAGTCTAGCGCCCCCCATAACATCAGCAACTGGGACACTGGTGGGTCAGCCTTTTCTTCTTGTTTTACCTCTCAGATTAGCTAATGCCACTTTCTCTGTGTCCACTTTGCTCCCTTGTTAAGGAATACATTTTCTCTCACATTATTTGGTTCAAATAATTTTTTAAAACTACTGTAATTAGTAAGTCTATGCAAACTTTCCAAGTGTTCCAGAGTAACATGTTTATTCATCTAAGCTGGTCTGATTCTTTTTTCCTTTAAGACCTTGATTCCAGATCTTAGATTATCAGTCTGAGGAGGGAATGGAACTATGATTTCATGATGCAAATTAAAACACACACACATTCACTAGATTATCAATACTTTTTATAAAGTAGCAACAATTAAAGAAATAGTAATAATAATAGTAATAATGAATGTTAGCTTAGCGACTCCCTGATCTCCATTGGGTTTGGGAACCTGAGTCCTATTTTAGTCACAAGGTCCCTAGGCTGCAGCTGCTCACCCTCATGTTCCTAAGATGGAACTGGATCTAGCCTCAAGATGTGTCTACTTTACACATTATCTGTCTGCATTTTTTAATCTTGGTTCCCACGTTCTGTATATGTACTACCTTCACCAGTCAACAATATGCTGCAATACTATTTTAAGTGCCCACCCTTCTTTTTTTTTCCTTTGTAAATTAAATGGGTCATTTGAGTTACAGGATTATATATGTGAATGCACTCTGCAGCATGCATGCATATGAAAATACAAAGGCTTATTATTGTGATATGCTTGGAGGCCAGCACCTGGACTCTTTTAGCATCTTGATTAGTACTTCCTGGCTGCAGTTACATGAGATTATTTTAATATTCTTTCTTATGATTAGGAAGTACAGTGTCCACAAACTCAAAAATCTGGCAAATGAGTAAGCCATCTTATTTGCCCTCAATATTCTTCAAAACAAGAGAGCTCTTCTAGATAACTAAACACCACACCCAATTCCACATGGAATAAATCATTTCAGTTCTGCTGGACTTTATAAGGTTGAATTGTTTTGGTTTTGGTACTGTGGATTGAACCCAGGTATGCTTAACCACTAAGACACATTTCCAGCCCTCTTTATTTTTAATTTTGAGACAGAGTCTCACTAAGTTGTTCCGGGCCTTGCTAAAGTTGCTGAGGATGCCTTTGAACTTGAGATCTTCCTGCCTCAGCCTCCTGAGCTGCTGGGATTACAGGCCTGCATTCCTATGAATGGCTGTAAGGTCAACTTAAGGCTTAATGTTTTCTCTTCATTTAGTAATAGGTGGTAGTAAGCAGTGAAAAACCAAATATAAACAGGCAGAAGTGAGGAGACAGACCCTGGATAGCCAGCCTCAAGAGTTTATTTGTTTGGGATAAATACTTTCTATCTAGACCAAAGAGTGTTTCTTTCTTGAGATGAAGCAATGTAAGGAATGAGAACCAACTTTTATTTGGTTAGGTCTCAGGTATTAGATGTCCAGGTTGACTTGGGGCTTTGAAAATTATTTTGCCATGCTATTGTTTTTTGTAACTAGTGGCTCAGCCTATACTAACCATTTTAGATTTTGACTATAATTACCTAGTTTGATTGACATAGTAAAGTTATGAAATGGCCAATTGATCTCAATTTCCATCTGAATTTTAATCTAAAAACCAATATGATGCTAAATAACCCATTTAACTGAATTTTTCACTTTTTAACCAGATTTCAACTTTGTTCATGTCACTCTGGTTTCTCATTTCATACTTCCTATTTACATACTGTCTGAATTTCTTTCACCTGAGTTTTCCTGGGCTTGTTTTCCATCCTCCGAGTTGGTTCTCTTGTCTTCAAGTGCGACTAGAGCTTCATCTCAATCTTCTTTTTTAAAATTTATGTTGTAAAAAGCACTTCCCATGTCTAAGCCCAGAAGAGAGCCCATGAATGTGTAGTATGGTGCTAAGTGCCATGTCACTCTAAACCACATGGTCACTTGCTGGTCTCACAAGAACAGATCCTGTCATGTAGGTGTACAGAGAATGACAGCCTAAAACATGGGTCACGCGATTCCCCTCAGCTTTCACCACTGACTCACAGAGCATCTGCCTCTGCTCCATAGGACACATCTACATGGTTTGCTTCTCTGTCTTGTCTTTCATGTGAACAAATGTTCCTGAGGTGCCTGTCTTCCATTTCTGCTGTCACCCTTCATTTCTGTTCTTCATCCCTCAAACGTCTATAATTTCCTTCTACCAGGTCCATGTGTTTTCTGTATGAACTTTCTGGCCATTACATCAAATTATCACTTATGTATTTATTGGTTTGCATAAAACATTTCTTTCATGGCCGTGACATTGATCTTTCATTTCATATCATGATACAGAATTTGCACTTTTTTTGAGGTATGGTGGGATCTGGCCTCTTTTGGGATAGTTTTGGGTGGTCTCCTATTTTCAGGTATATTTCATTTAATTGAATGATAAATTTGTAGCAAAACCTCAAGTAATCCTACTCTAAAGTCTAGGCTGTATCCTTTAAATGTTAATAGTCTACAATAACAATGACACAAAAAGGGCCCCAAGAGATTATTGATTATATTCATTGTGCTGTGAATTGTAGTCACCTGACCACACTGAAGACTGAAATGCTCTATTTATCCACAGAACAGATACAGCCTGGGAAACGCCAGTGTAATGTGCCAATGTGCCTAAACCCTGACCTGGAGGGACAGCCGTTGAGAATGAGAGGTTGGTTGAGTCAGAGTCTCAGCCTGTAAGAGCTGCAAGACTATACGTGTCCATCACCGAGTCACCTAACAGGAGCAGGTGCTGAAACCTTTTCTTCAGCAGCTCCATGAAGTGATGCAGCCTCTGCAAAACATCTTCAGGGACTGGAACACACGACAGTTCATCTTATAACATGACCAGAGGAAAGGTCTTCCTTATCATGGATTTCTAGCCCTTAGGGCCACACAATAAAAGCCTAGTATCCACCAGTTTTCTTGACATTTGAAAATATCCACCTTTTGCTTATTCTCTGTTGTTTCTAGGCCCTAGACCCCTCGGTATTCCTCCTAATATGTGTGTCAGTTTTCTGTATCACCTTGTCCCTAGTATGTTGTGATCATAGGTGAATAGCTTCTTTTCAGCTGCTGGAGAGGTATATTGAAAATATACACTTGATTTTAAGTTGTTGATGGTAGCCAGCTAAGCATAAATGTATGCTAACAGCATCAGAGTCTTTATTTTCAAAATTCATCTGTGAATTTTAATTACAAAGGTAAAATTACTTTGTTCTTTTTAAAATTCAAAGGAAGTTAACCTATCATTGGTTACAAAAAAAATTTTAAAAGAATAGTGATTCCATCTCACAGCTAGTCCCTTACATCAAGTAGGTCTGTTTTTCTAGCCCATGCCACTCTTCTGGGTTTCCTAAGGAGGATGGAAATGTGTAGCTCTCGTCTCCCTCAACACTTGTTGGCAGCGAGTAGCAGCTTCAGCTCCTGGATCAGATCAGGTGAGACTCTTCTCACCTTTATGAGTGGAAGCCAGGTGGGTCATACAAATCTCTGGTGCTTGTTTATGATTCAGTAGAAGCAAAATTGCAATGAGGAAAAGGGAACAAAGATGGAAAGTCATTCTCTTTCATGGTGAACAGAAGAGTTGACTTCATGGTTTCTCCTGTCTCCAAGATTCTCAGAGAGACTTTTATCAACATCTCCAGCTTTGAAGTTGGGCTGCGGAGTCCCCTCCTTCTTCAAGTTTCTGAGAACATTCTGTTTCTGCTTCTAGTTCTGTMCAGAGGGCATTTTGGATAGTCAGGAGGGGAGCCAGCAATGTCAGTGTTGGCAGAAGTGTTGGCAGCAACTGGGAACAACACTGCAGTCTTAGCTCTGGTGTGACTCAGCTATAGCAAAAGGGAGTTAAGGTCTCCAGCTTCTGTTCTTGCATTTCCCACCTTCTCCTTGTACATCATTCTTTGTTCCCACATCAGCAGAAGGATTCAGAAATCCATGGATTCAGCTAGTGTTATCCTGTGAGGCCAGTGCCCAGTACCACAACCTACCTGCCTTCCTATATGACTGCTGTAAATGTTGCATCATATTTTCTGTATTGTCATATGAACAACAACTTCACAATGCTATTGTCAAAAATACCTCTTCCTTAGCTGACGACTGTTTTGAGAACACAAAAACGACTGGATCCCTCTTTTTACTTGACTTTATTTGTGATTACAATATAACAGAAATTGACAATAATCCTCTGACAGCCTTAACACAGAGTTGTTTGTTGAATTACTTTTTCATGTTTTTAGTAGGTCTGGATTATGTGTCACCATTATAGGCTTAATTCTTCTGCTTTTAACACAGGCATTTTGGCATATGGTTCAGAGTTCAAGAAATGTGAAGAATTATATTTAAACTTTCTGTGTTTTGGTTTCTTGAAGCAACTTCATGCTATTTACCATGCTGTTTAATAATCAAGTATGTCTTCTTTTATCTTGGCCTAGTTCTTGCTTCTTCGATTACTAATCAATTTATAGTTATGCTTGTAATACGTTGCTTCTACTCAAAGAAACATCTTCTGGAAGCAGAGATCTTTGTTAATGATACTCTGAGGTATATTTTGGAAAGAACATTATCTCAGAGACAGCTGATGAATATTGTAGTAAAATCTGTATTCCCACTTGGGAGTTTAGGGAGTGACATGAAGTACACGTTTCTGGATACTTTTCTTTGCCTTGTGGGATTACAGGTCTTCCGCTTCTCTTAAGTACCTTTTGTAGCCTATAATATGGAAGTAACTCAATTGTTTTGAACACTTTTATCCCATTTTTTTCCTCTCAGATTGAAACACTTGTCTTCTTGGTTAGGTTTCTAAACATTTTATTTTGATTCCTTTAGAAACCAATTCTCTGAATTGTTTTTCTTCTGCTTAAGGAGAGATGGAATTTCTTTCCAGTACCAAGTTCCTTGAGAAGTGGATTTCTTAACTGTCATTGGTTTCTTCTGCCTTCTTTCCTGTTTGAAGAACACAGTCTCAGGGATTCTTTGTATAACATGGTATTATTCTAAATTGTTGCTTTGGGATCTTTTTGATGCTTCATTTGCATGGTTCTGGAAAACCTCTCCAACACTTATGGCTTCCTTAATGGAGAATACCCTCCTGATTCTCCAACTTTGCTCATCACTRGAGCATGTTGCTAAGAGCCCTGCCTCAGATTTCTTTGAAGAAAGTGAAACCCAAAGTTTTAAACATGGTGGTACTGTTGGCCAAAGTCAAGTGAGTCACTAAATGGTATCTTCAAAACACTGCATTTTCACTCATAAATACTTCAATATGAAAAATAGTCTTTTGGTTTGGAGCTTATGATATTAATTTCCAAAGTAAAATTTGCAGTGATATTTCTACCTCATATATACCCTGGGATCTTATTTTCTTCCCTCGTTAGCAACACTTTAATAGATATATATGGTGCCTTTAGAAATGATGTATAACATGGACAGCTTCCACTGGGGCCTGGCAAATGAGGGGGTGACTGACTTAAGAGTACCCTGGAATAGATTTCCCTCTTGATTTGTCATTTTTTTTTAGTACCTTGTTGGTACATCTGAATGCTTTCAGATATTTTCAAAGTCAAGAGGCAAGGGAGACATAGACATCCAGTTCTTAACATCATAGAAGTAGAGACAAATCACAATAGTTCTTGACTTCATCATAYCATTGAAGCTTTTCCACAATGCATCTGGATGTCCAGGCTGCAACCCTTTGAATGTGATCTGTGGAGGACTGTAAGAGCAGAGTGGGGACTTTCCTGGTCCCAGGAGCTGAGCTTTATTCACTGGTTGTCTCTTTGCTGCTTACCCAGGTGCCACGAAGTCCAGCCTGCTGTCAGCACCCAGCATAGTGAGCATGTTTGTACCTGCTCCTGAAGAATTCACTGACGAGCAGCCAACGGTGATGACTGACAAGTGAGTGCACATAGAATTAGAGTTTGGTCATCAGAGTTGTGAGAAAGTATAAGAGGAAGCAAATTCTGCTTTTAAGTCATAATTTGTTCTTCAAAAGGCTGTAACTGTAAGTGTTGGTATGTGTTTGTGATTTAGGAATGCTGTCTTATGAACACCTTTTCTTTGTGCTTAGGCATTGTTCTTTTTGTATTTGAATAAATTTAAATAATGTCACTCACTTATTATCCCTAGTAATAATTTCACACCTATAAAACCCCTCAATAAGAAACCTCAAATTGTTAGATTGGGAATAAGGATGATATTCCATTCTTTTTCCATCCTGCTAGCAGAATCTGTTCTTAAACTGATTGTGTCAGCTCTCAGCTTGTCAGCCTCCAATAGCCCTAAAGCCCTTCTAGGACCAAGCACAGTTGCCTTGGTTTCTTAGATAAGGTCCTTCAGCTTGGGAAGGTTCGGCCCTCCCACTCCTCACCAGGACCCCTTTCCCAGCCCCTCCCCTTTTCCAGAGCCCTCCTGCTGTGCCCTCCCTGTGTGCCCTTTTGTACTTTCTCTTCTCGGTGAACTGCTCATGCTTGAAGGTCCAGGTGAAGGTAAGTTCCCTGATTCCATCAGGCAGCATCAGTCACGCCATTCTCCAGCCTCCTCTGCATCCGGTGCATCTCTATCCTGGCACTTACCACATTGCATGTTATATGTGTTTTCTTAAATAACACACACATGTTCTGTAATAGATTGGGAGTTCCTTAGGGACCAGGACCATTTCTTCTATATTTTATACCCTAAGTTCCCTGTATATTGACTGGCACATAAATGCTTGCTCAGTGAATATGATAGAGTATACTTGCAGGATTTCAAGTTTGGAGAGGTCCCTTTGGGCCAGGACAAAGAATTCCAGCTACATGGATACTCATACCTGGTCCTGGTCCAAAGGGGTCTCTCCAAACTTGAAATCCTACAAGTCTTAATTCCTCAGCTCTTATCCAGTAACCATCTGACAGTCCTTGCTGAAGTGGCCTTGGGATGTCCACCTGGGGACCTTTGTGTTACCTGGGAGGGCTCTTCTTGGCTCTTCCCCTAGTATAATGTTTTCCTTTCACATCCTCCCCCTCCCAAGTCCCAATTTTTCCTAGTTGCTTCATATTTACTTTRTTTTTCTTCTTTTTTGGTTACAAATATGAAGGCTATATAAAAGCCATTTGGTAAGAAAACTTTTATTTACTTATTTATTTTATTTTTACCTATATTTTAGGAGGGTTTCAAATCGAAGGTCACAACAGCAATCATAGTTTGGGTCCCTTGCTATTTCCTCCCACTGTATAAAGCTGCCTTAGTTGAGTTTAATTAAATGGAACTCACATTAGAACGCATGAGAAACAGTAAGTTGTAAGTTACTTAAGAGCAGGTACCATTGTTTGTGTTTTCACACATTAGGCTCAGTAAATTCATAAAATTGATCTAAGTGAGTGGTAGAGAAGGGACTCAATTGAGACCCCCAGGCTTTCTAAACTGTTATCTTCACTCAAGTTCCCTATCTCTTACCCACAAATAGAACATTTTTTGAAAGCTTCTATTCGTGCCTAGCCATTTTTCATTTTGACAAAATGAGAAAACTATGTAATCATTGACAATCTCTAGCCATATTTTCACAGAAGCTTCACACCGATAGTTCAGCTGATGCTCATTCCAACAGGGTGCAATAACTCCCATTTTCCAGATGCTTGTGAATTTGAAGAGTATTTTCAGTAATTAAAGGGACTTCCACCACCTCTGCCAAGTGTGTTTTTTCTGCATCTGTGGTGGTGGTGGCCCTAGGTCTCCCGCTTATTGTTACAGTGGGGACACTGACCTCCTTTTGGGGGATTTTCCAAGACTCATGAGAAATGACTGTGTGTTGTATGTTGTATCTTGAAATAGTGGTTGGCTTTCAGGAAAGCATTCCTCCGTTTTCCTTGCAGATGCCATGACTGTGGGGCCATTCTTGAAGAATATGATGAAGAAACCCTCGGGCTGGCCATTGTGGTCCTCTCCACATTCATTCACTTAAGCCCCGACCTGGCGGCCCCACTGTTGCTGGACATCATGCAGTCTGTGGGAAGGTAAGGGTCAGCTCGAGTTGTTTGGTAGGATGGAGCCTATCCAAGACAAATCTTGAGATAAAATCCACCAGTTCAAAAGGCAAGCATGCATTTACCTTGTAGATATCTGTGGAATCAATTCAAACTAGTTTTTTTWWAATTTTTTTTTTAGTTGTAGATGGACACTATACCTTTATTTTATTCATTTATTTTTATGTGATGCTGAGGATTGGACCCAGCACCTTGCATATGTGAGGCAAACGCTCCACCGCTGAGCGGCAACTTCAGCCCATTTCAGACTAGTTTTAAAAATTGAATGAACTGATTTTGTATTGAATTCCCCAGCTGTGTAGATTCATGAGTTACAACGTCAGAGTGAAGCTAGAAGAAGCTGCTCTTGTACTGTTTGTTGTTTGTATTTACTACATGAGCTAACATATGTAACAKTGCTCAGAACTATCAGTTCATATTAAACACCTCATTAGCTAATATTATTATTACTATTATTATCTCTCTTTTTATTTTGAGATGAATTTTCTAGGTATTTTGTAATCTCAAGGGACCCTCACTTAACTATGCAACTTGGCCTAATTATGTGAGGGGATAAATACAAGTAAATAAATGTAGCAGCTTCACATTTCTGACTCAGATAAAGGAAAGATAAACACATTTTTGCAAACAGGACCTTCAACCTGAGGGAAAAATAAGCTTAGCTATTTTGAGTGTTCATATAAAGAAAATTCCATTTAGTAGAAAGACAATAGGAGATGGATGATGTATTTCATGGATATGCATAAAGTTCTAATTCAGTAACAAACATAACATATAGTAGAGGACTGAGTAAAATTAAGTTTCCAAGCTGTACTAGCATAGTGGTAGGTGCTTTGGATTAAAGGCACTAAGGCCTAGCTCCTGCCTTCAAGTGATTCATGGCTGAGTTGTTAGAAGGAACAGTTCTGTGCAGAATCATTGAGTGGCTATATAGACAGGGCATCGATTAAGTGCTATGTTGAATGGCCACTGGGGTACAGGTGGGGCATAGATTAAGTGCTATGATGAGTAATATGAGTGTAAGTGCTATAGATGGAAAAGATTTCACTGGGGTAGGACAAGAACTGAATTCTGAAAATTCCTGGCATTTAAGAGAAGGAAAGAGCATGAATCTTAAGGGAGCTAAAATTAAACCTTTTTTTTTAAATGAAGAAATACTGATTTCAGGTAAACAAGAAAAACACTAAAAACTTGACCCCCAAAGTATAAGACCCTGTTATCTCCCTCTCTGCAGATTTTTTTTGTAGCATCTTTAGAGTCATATGTGCAGAGACAGTATAAAGTGAAGTGTAACCATTCCACCTTCACTTCAGAGTGGCCGAATGCAGAGGAAGTGATAAGCATGGGGATATGGAGAAGAGAAAACATGAACTATGTCATTTAACCCTTCATTTTGGCTGATCTTAATAATTGTGGAATAAACATTATATCAGCTTTCAGCAATACTAATGGAATTGAGGGTTGTTATTAATGTGTGGTCGCAATTCCTACTATCAATACATTTTAGTTTCAGAGGAGATGGAATTATTGTTTTGATCTGTTATTATGTTCTTGAAACAGTTGATCTAAGTTATTGAGGGGATTGTTTTTGTTGTTTTAACATAAATTGGAATAACCCATGTTCAAGCATTGCCAATTAGTAGGATGGAAACACATAAGCTTTGAAGAAAAGCGAGAAAAAACAGTAGCAGACACATTTTTGCATATATATATATATATATATATATATATATATTTATTTCTGTTCTTTGGAAGACTAAGGGGGAATAGGGAAAATATTTCATGCAAACTGTCAGGATTCTAGAAACCTAAGCCTCATGGCCAAAGCTTCCCAGAGAACAGATTCATCCACTTCCTAATTAGGGGCTTCCTTATTATATGCTTCAGTTCCACTGCAAAGAATGGAGGAGGCAATGTGGATTTACAACCATTTCCTTTACTCCCTGCCAGTCAGGAGCACAGGCACCATTCCCAGGGTTTTCTAAGACTCTGTAAACTCAGCTAATCCTTTCATTTGTTAGTTTAACTTCTCTATGAGATTTTTGTTTATATTTTGCTCTCTACCTGGATGCCTCTTGAATTTTACCTGTCCCCTTTTTCAGGTACATTCTTTTGACATACACATTTCCTGTACCCTTAATTACTCTTCAGTTTATTTGCAAATGTCTTTCAACTCACTGTAAAATGAGAGGACCCACAACCAAAGCAGCCTGGAATCCTGTCTGGTGTTAGTGGTAGCTGGGAGCCATTGTTCCTCTCCAAATGGGTTCTTGGCTCAGGTCACTTCTGTAGCCTTAAGTGAATTGATTTGTGACCCTCTCCCTATTTGTTTCTTTAATTCTTTACTGATTAAAATATATTTTCCTAAATCTACCAATGTAGTACATTCTCTCTGTATATGATAACATATGGGATATTCATTTATACAGAACCATATAATTATATCTTTCAAAATTACGTTATATATCGATTATTTAACCTAACATATTTCTGTTCTCAATACAACAGTTTTCTCATTGTTTTTATTCAACAGGTAGCTGACAAATACCTGTTATCTATTTTAATAACTCATAGTGRTTTTTATAATTTGTGATTTGTTTGTAGACAGGTTTCAGAGGTTGTAGACTATGATGAATTTGAGTTAACATGGGAATGAGTTGGGCAAGTATTGTCCTGGTTTCTATTGTCCTACTTGGCAGTGGAAGCCATTTTGTAGGTTGGCCAGTGACAGCAAACTGATTTTGACTATGTGTCACTCTATGGAAATATCTGATTTAATGCAGAAGGCAGATTTTGGGGCTGGGACACTGACCTCTGAGTGGGCCCTCTGTCCCTGGTCAAAGGGCGTTACACAAGTCCCCCTGTTTCTGAACCACAATAGGTCCACCTCAATACTACAGCATTTGATCATGAATAGCTAAGAAATTTGTGTGACTGTGTTTACTTTGTTTCCTAGATTGGCATCCAGCACTACCTTTTCTAACCAAGCAGAAAGGTAAGATCCTACAATGGGCCCGGATCTCACTTTCTTTTTGTTTCCTGTGCATGTTCATCCTGTTTCTAAGACATGATCTTATTCCAAGAAGGGTTATTGTTAGTTCCAGTCAGAATTCCAGAAAGCACTAGTTGTTTGATTTGAGTTCATGCCTTTGTTTATCATTCATTAATTCACTCGTTTTAGTAAAAGAATACTTTTAAGCCTWCCCTGTGCTTGATACTTAGGCTTTAATTAGGGACAAAACTAACTGGATTCCTACCCTCAGTGGGGTTTTGTGCTCTGTTGGGGAGGTAAACATGAATGAAATATTCACACAAATTTGTAATTTTAAAACATACTAAGTGCTATGAATAAAAAGTATAGAGAAACTTACATCAATTCTTCCAACAAGTATTTATGGGGTTATCTAGTGATGTTGAGAATACAATGGTGAAAAGCATACCCAATYCTGGCTCTCAAGGAACCTACATTCAAGAGGAATAAGGAAATCAATCAACAAGTAAATTGATAATGTGGTTTAATATCATTTTGTGCAAAGTGCTGTGAAAATCAATTAAAGTGTAGGTGCTAGAGAGGGACTGGAAATGGTCATTTTAGATACAGTGGTCAAGGATAACCTCTCTGCAGAAGAGATAATTAAACCAAGCCTGAGCAGAGTAAGAGCAATCCATGCGGTGCTTTATGGAACGAGCAGCCAGGGCAGATGTGTTAAGTTAGGACAATGCCTAGTGCATTTGGGGGATGAACTAATAACGTGGCTGAAATGAGCATAGAAAGGATGGCAGATGGGATGGACCAGGTAGTGGGAGCCAGGCCAGGTTACTTAAGAAGTTGAGCTGTCGCTGAATAAAACAGGGAGCCACTGGAGCACATACTTGATCTTGTGCTTTGAAAGGATCACTCACCGGTCAAATTCCTAGACTCAGAGTGGAATGATGTTGCTGGTCTAGGGGAGGGGAAGTAGGGAATCAATCAGCAGGCATAAATGTCAGTTAAGGAGCTCTACAACACTGTATCTAGACTCAACAATAATGTATTGCACACTTAAAAATTTAAGAGGATAAGTCTTATTTAGTGTTCTTATTAGAAAGGAAATTATTATTATTATTATTATTATTATTATTATTATTATTATTCTCCAGGGATTGAACTCAGAGGCATTTAGCCACTGAGCCCCATCCCCAGCCCTTTTTATTTTTCATTTTAAGACAAGGACTCCCTAAGTTGCTTAGGGCCTTACTAAGTGGCTGAGGCTGGCTTTTAAATCATGATCCTCCTGCATCAGTCTCCCAAGCCTCTGGGATTTCAGGTGTGTGCCAGTGTATCTTAGCGAAAATTAAAAATTTTAAAAAGGAAGAATTAAAAAGAAGAAAAATAAAAGATCACTCTGGCTTATATGATTTAAAACAAGTCACGGGAGTGAGTGGAAGCAGGGAAGTCAGTTTAGAAACCATCTCAGTGGAGCAAGTAGAGGAGGATGGCGACTTGCTCTCAAGTGGTGAGGAGTTGTCACATTAAGGATAATTCAGGAAATACTTTAGAAGTACTCTAGATAAAGGAAATATCATAGAGCCAACAGAATTTTCTGATAGATTGGATGTTTGGTGCAGAGGTAGAGAGGAGGCAAGAATGACGCCCAGGCTTTGGTATGAACAACTGGTGGAGAGATGTGCCACTTACTGAGGTGGAGGGCCTAGGTGAGAGCCAGCGCCATGAGTGGYTGTCACCCACTAAATGCTAACCACCTGAAGTTATGTTAGTCACAAGATATGAAAGACTGGGTATTATTTTTCTCTTGGGTATCCTTCCCAAATGACAAGTCACAAACCTGCATAACTGCCTTTCTCACCCTGATCTGCCTGCATTCTGTGTGTGCAGCAGCTACAACACAATAATCCCACTAGTAATGGGGAGTGAAAATGCTTAAAGCCAATGTCCACCTCCAGAGAGGCCGACACTATTGTGATGTTCTTCTACCATGGATCAGTTTTGTCTATCGTAGGGCTTCATGTAATRGAATTAAACCACATATGYTCTTTTGTGTCTGACTGCTTTACTCAACAATGTCTTGAGATTTATCCATGTTGTTGCTTATATCTGCAGTTTGTTTCTTTTCCAGAGCTGAATAGTGTCCTATAGTTTGTTTATTCACTTTCTGTTGAAGGACTTTGGRTTATTTCTGGTTTGGGGCAATTATAAATAGAACTGCTATGAATATTCTTATAAAAGCCTTTTTGTAAAAAATGTTTGCATTTTCTCTTGGGGATGGATTCATGTCTYACAGGATAGGAGTTTGTTTAATTTCATAAGAAATCACCAGCACTTCTCTTACATAAAGATGCTTATATAGAAATTGTTGTAACATTTCTCTTATGTATAAAATAGTAACCATGTTATATTCCCATCATCAATGTATGAGACTTGGGATTGTTCCACATCTTTGCCATATTTAGTGTTGTTGACTTAAAATTTTAACCACTCAGGTGGGTGTTTAGTGGGTATCTCATTGTAGTTTTAAATTCCATCCTTTGGTATATTCTTTTGTGAAATGTCTGCTCAAATCATTTGCATCTTTTTAATTGAATTGTTGTCTTTATCCAGAGTTGTAGGAATTCTTTACATATCCTGAATATCAGTCCTTTATTAAATATTTGAAGAACATCTTCATCCAGTCTTGGACTTATCTATTCCTTTTCTTAATGRTATTATTTGCTGAGGAATATTTAATCCAGATGAATTCTAATTTATTAAAACTTTTTTAAAAATTATAATTGTTGCTTCCTGTTATTTATCTAAGAACATTTTGTCTCCTTCCAAGTTGTGCAGATATTCCCCAATGTTTCCTTCTAAAACTTTATGGTTTTAGTGTTTATGTTTAGCATTTATATGATCCATCTCAAATTAATTTTTATGTATTGTGTGAATTAGGGCTAGGGCATTCTTTTTTATCCAGGGTGGATATAGTTATTTCAGCATCATTAAAAATGGAAAAAACTCAATGGATCCCTACAATGTCTGTTAAACTCAAAATACCATATAAGGGCAGGTCTGTTCTATGTGTTTTGTATATGTTCTATGTGTTGACCCTTAAGCTAACACCCACACTTGATTATAGTAGCTGTGTAGTAAGTCTTGAATCAGGCAGTATGAGGCCTCCAACTTTAACTTATCTTTTTCAAGATTGGTTTGGATATCTAGAGTCTTTACATTTCCATATAAATTTTTAAAGCTTCTCATTTTTTTAATCAAAAAAGCTTTCTGGGATTATATTAAAAGTATGAATCAATTTTATATAAATGACATAAATGACATTGAAGTATTCAATTCATGAACATGATAATGTATCTCCATTTCATTAGATCTTTAAATTCTCTAAGCAGTGTTTTTTTAGTTTTCAGGTAGATTTTGTGTATATCTTTTGTTAAATTTATTCTCAAGAATTTTGTTTTTTAATGCTAATGTAAATGGAATCATGAAAAATTTTATTTTCAACATTTGTTGCTGGTATATAAATATAAATTGTTTATTATATATTAAGTGTAGCCCAGCTAAATTCATTTATTAGTTCCAGATGTTGCTTCGTAGATTCCTTAGGATTTGATTTTGCATGGAAAAACAGCATATCATTTGCAAGCAGTGATAGTTTTACTATTCCTTTTTGATCTTGATTTTATTTCTTTTTATTACCTTACTACAATGGCTAGAACCACCAGTAATAGAAATGTGTGAGTGGACATTTTGCTTTATTTCCTGCCATACAGGGAAAATATTCAGTATCTCACTGCTAGTTATGTTAGCTATAGGTTTTTCACAGATGTCCTTCAGCAAATTGAGGATCTTCGTCCATTTCCAGTTTATTGAGTTTTTAAAATCATGAATGTTTGTTAACTTTGGTAAATTGTATTTTTTGTATCTATTGAAATAATCGAAAGGTTTTGTCCTTTTTATTTAATTACACTGACTGGTTTTTTATTATTAAACCATACCTATATTCCTGAGATAAACCCTACTTGGTCATGATGTTGTCATTCTTTTAATCTATAGTTGGATTCAGTGTCCATGAGAAGTATAGGTCTGTTTTATCTCTTACCATTTCTTTTTGGTTTCCTTTTTAGTTTCATTTCTTTCTTTCTTTTGATAATGACTTTATCTGATTTTAGCTTTAGGGTCATGTMAGTCCCATAAAACAAAGTGGAAAAGGCTCCCTTCTTCTCTATTTTCTTAAAGTTATTATACATTTGGGGTTATTTTTTTTCCTGAAGAACATTTCTGGCTTAAAAGTTTGAACCAGCATTTCAGGATRGGCTTGCATAATGAGGTATAATTATACCTATCATAATTAGGGAAGCAGAACTTTTCTCCCTTCACCTACCTGAGTGGTTTGATTTCTTTTTTCTTCCTTCTGGTAACTTACTAACCACCTCAGGAAGTCTCCCTTCTGGTCCCTTGGTCTAAGGGGCAGGACCACATGAAGATCTCTTGGTTCCCCTTTTTGACATGCAGAAATGAACAGTGGGTGGAGGAAATGCACCTGTCAAAGTCCTATCCTTTCCACAGGTGCCAGCTTGGATGCCCCAGGAAGACTCCCCAGGTCTCCCAGCTGGGAAGAACCTCTCCCTCACTGCATTTTCCCTCAGAAAAGCTCTTGCTTAGCCAATTACACTTTCTTGGGAGGATCTTGCTGATAGTTCTCAACCAGGGTTCTTGTCCTAACTCTGCCATTCTCTAGACATGAGGCCTTTGCAGGTCACCTTTCCCCACTGGTCCTGGGAACCGTCATACATACTTTAGGAGGCCTACAGCAAGCCAGGGATCACTCTGGAATTTCATGATTTTATCTTTCTTTTTTTAAATATTATTTTTAGTTGTCAATGGATCTTTTACTTATTTATATGCAGTGCTGATGATTGAACCCAGGGTCTCACACATGCCAGGCAAGCGCTCCACCACTGAGCCAAGACTCCCAGCCCTTATGGTTTTCTTTTTCTAAAAAAAAAAATATATATATTGTTAACAGGGATTAGGTTTGACTAGACTATTTTATTTCACTGATGGAAATGACAGGTTTTACATAAGATTGTTGTGTAAATGCTTCAACTCTAAATAAATAGACTCTTGGCCCATGGTCTCTTGCATCTTCTCTCCCTGCTGGAACGCAGCATGATGGTTCCTGGCAATGCAGCAGGGGTGGCCAAGCAGTTCCTGCGCTGCATCTTCCATCAACTGGCCCCAAATGGCATCTTCCCGCAGCTGTTCCAGAGCACCATCAAAGGTAATTCCCCCGCTGAGGTCTGGACACAACAGACTTGCTGAGTCTCTGAAACCCGATCTCTACTAAAGCTGATTGTTCACTTTGCAGATGGGACTTTTTTGCGGACCTTAGCCACATCTCTCATGGACTTCAATGAGCTGAGCTCTATTGCTGCTCTTAGCCAGCTCTTGGAGGTAGGTTTGCTTTAATGACACCCTGGGCCCCAGCCGAAATTGCATGCCCTATTTGAGTCACTCCATTGAGTACTCCAGCGGGAGAAATCCAAAGTCATTTAACTTGAAAATTAAATTTAGATTTTGTGTGTATTTCTATTCATTTAAAACTTGTAGACTTCCAACTAAGTGGTGAACCCCAGGATTGAAAACTCACCTCCACAAAACTATCCTGTTCTGAATTTTCAAAATGCATGGTGGGTAGAGCATTACTGTATGGCAAGATTTGTATTCCAAGATCCGCTATGTGCTTATTCACAGAGCAGTATTGTATCACAAGACTCAGGTTCAAGCCTCTGCTCCGAGGCCTGGTCATTTAGYCATTGCTAGAAGGGAAGCTCCTGCTCCTTAATTTTTAAGTTTTAGTCTTTGTTCTAGAGAATTCTTTCCAGCCAGCAACATTCATTTTGTCCTTTTAGCACATAACTACATCAATGATAGCTCCTAAGAAGATATTTCTTATTTGTTGCTCACATTTCACCTCTCAATCAAAAGATCCCAACTCCTTGGAGTTTGTCTGAACGTGTCTATTTTCCTTTACATTTCTCCTGCTTATGATTGGCTCATATGGTAGGCACTCAAGGCATGTATATAACATGAATATGTGATTTTAAAACTGATCTTCAACAAATAGCTGTCTGAATTCACATGGTGTTTCAGCAGTTGATTGCCTATGCTTTTGTTTTTAGGGTCTAAATAACAAAAAGAATTTACCAGCAGGGGGTGCTATGATACGCTGTTTGGAAAACATTGCTACTTTCATGGAAGCTTTGCCCATGGATTCTCCTAGTAGCCTCTGGACCACAATCAGCAACCAGTTTCAGACATTTTTTGCCAAGCTGCCTTGTGTTTTACCTCTGAAGGTAAGCTGATCCCAGATTTCACTGTGAATTACCTTTTGACAATTTATCTCTAGAGAGCAACACAAGAAGCAAAGTCTTGGGTGATTTGATAAATCCCAAAGGGCTAGAAGGAATCTGTCAGCTGCAGAGTGAAGATTATTATCTGGGTTGTTTTTTGTGCACGATTTGATTAACTTGAAATCAAATGAATCGCTTCTTGATCTGACAAGTGAAGTAACATGTTAACAACTCCACTTCTGAAATGAGTATTATACAAATGTAAAATTTTATAGAGATCAGCCACCTGCATTGTTGCTAAATTGGCAGACTGCTAATAGGGTCTGTAAGGATGATGAGTCAGGGACCCTTAACTTTTTCTGTGTGCTTTGAGTTTGATGTTTCTTTGCAAAACAGGGATACACAGGAAGGATCTTTACTTCTTTCATTCTGTGATCCTTGTTTACCCACAAATCTGGAGTAGCTAAATAAATCCAAGCAAGGAGGATTAGTACTTTGAAAGTATGTCTGTATATAACTACTGTACATACATGCATAAACAAATCAAGGATATGAGTTTTAACTCAGCCACATAGAACCTCCTTTAGACCAGAGTTATTCAGGGTCATTTATTGCTAATAAGCCACATACTCTAAGAAGAGTGCAGCAGGTATGACAAATTCGAATGACCAGGTGCAGATATGATAGTCAAAATATTTAACTTGAACACTGATCAGTTGGAAGTATTGCTAGCTATAAATCACTGAAATGCCTAATTTGTGATAATCAGCTCTGCCCATAGGGACCCTGCCTTCAAGTTAAATGACTAAAGTGGAATGATCTAAGATAATAATAAGAATTGGGACCAGACTCTTAAAAATTGTAATGTACCAGTCCTTCTGCTGGAGTCAACTGCTACCCCAGTAGTTATATGAGAAATGAGGTGTCATGTTGTGGATTTTCCCATCTTTTCTAGGATGACATTTCGTGATTTTTAAATCACTGGGAGGGCCTCATGAGCAGCCAGTTTTCAGCCCGTGGTTTAAATTAAGTAAATTTCACATCAACCGTGATGGGTATTGAGCACATTAAACAGGCCAGCAGTTCCTTTAGAAAGTACTTGTGGGATGCTTTCAGTATTTATGTAAGAATTTCCCCTGCTAGGTCAGATCTGGGCACTGCTTCTGTTTTGTTTTTCATCTCCGAGGAAATTATAAGCCTTTGAAAAACACATGGTTTCACCAGTTTAGAAAAGTGGGTCTCAACGTCTAGTGTGCATCAGTGTCCCTAAAATACAGATATGTATGTTATATATATATATGTTATACTGGGACTGATTTGAGATTTCTGATTCAGTAGGGGTGGGGCCAGGGGATTGACAGCCTAACAAGTTTTCAGGTAATGGGCATCCTGCTGGTCCTGGAATTCCACCTGAAGAATCACTGGCTTAATTTACAGTATCTTAAAGAGAGTAAAATACACAGCTGCAGATATTGAACTGTAGCCTGCTATTGTGATGTGTTCAGAATGTTAAACAATATTGTTGTTTATTCTCTTTTTTGGTACCAGGGATTGAACCCAGGGTTGCTTAACTGCTGAGCCACATCCCCAGCCCTTTTATTTTTTATTTTAAGACAGGGTCTCAGTAAGTTGCTAAGACTGGCTTTGAACTTGTGATCCTCCTGCCTCAGCCTCCACAGCTACTGGGATTGCAGGCGTGGGTCACCATGCCCCACTTGTTGTTTATTCTTGCTGTAACATTTCCCCCAAGTCCCAGTAAACTCAATTTGAAAAGTACATTTTGATGTGAAGTTTTGCCAAAATGAAACTCTAATAAATTTGAAAGTGTRATTTTTCCCTTATAAAAATTTTAATACTTTCCCTCAGACTTTTTTCATGTCTTTTCATGGCAGAGAAAGTGAAGGTGAAACTATTTCTTATTTGGACTAATCATTCTTAAATAAGTTTTATTTTGTTCTATTTCTAACATGGCCATTTACAAATTAGTATTATCTCTTTAGAATTGGATTTATGTAAYGTCCTCTTGTCCACCTGTGTGTCCATTCATCCAGCCGGCTATCTGATTCTCTGTGCAACTTTCTGTAAGATTAAATTCTAGAGCTGTGTCTTTGAAAAATACTTTAGAAGCTGTGTTAAATTATTTACTTATTTTAATTGTTTCATTAAAATATTTTAACCTAAAATAATTGTTTTCAACATGAATATATGGCATGGGAAGCTGAACAGAGGTAGTTATATTTCAGATTTTTCTTTTTACAAAAATAAATATAAGAAATATGATGTACAAARGATATGTTAAAGGAACTGAATTCTTTCTTCATGTTTATTCACAGTGTTCTTTAGATTCCAGTTTGAGAATTATGATATGCCTCTTGAAGATACCCTCTACCAATGCCACAAGGGTACGTATGCTTCAGAAAAATATAGCCAGTTGTTTTTTTGGTCATTTTTTAACCTAAAAAGAMAGGTGCATAGCAACACAGAAGACACAGTCCTGACATCCAGCATCCGTTCCTTTCCTCACACCAGGTCATTGGTCACCATGTGTAGTAGGTTCCCAAGGCCTAGGCTATGCCTACCAACCCTTCTCCATAGACTAATGAGGTGATCCTTCTGAACAGCRCATCATGTTGGTTCCTTCCTTAAAAATCTTGGACAGTGCTTGATTTCTTTCAGGATAGTGTCGGAAATCCTTAACATGGCACACAAAAGTTTACCTCATTACTCACCAGCCTACTTTCCAGCTTATTCTCTGCTTGATTGTCCACCACTGCCGCTTGTGCTCCTGTGAGTCAGCATCGTTATCCTCCTCAAGGCAACAACGCCATTTGTTGAACTCTTACCAAGTGTCAGGCCGCAGGCTCAGTGCGTTCCATGTAGTCTTATTTCATTTCATACCCTCTTTGCCTTTGCTTAGACCTTTTCTTTTCCTGAAATTCTTTGTACTCTTCAGTGAGATGAACTCATTCTTCAAGGTCCCATTTAAATTTTTTAAAATGCTCATATTATTAGTAACATCTGTGTCCTGTATCAGCTCCCACAGCACGTGACTGAGCTGTGTTAGCACTTGATAGTCTCCAAGCCTCCCCAGGGAGACCATGAGCTTCATGGACTCCAGTACTGTATCTCATTCTGTATCCCTGCTACCATTGTGAATTGCATTATATTCAGTGGTGATATAGTTTGATTTGCAATAGTTTGTAATTACTACTTAATATACCAATAGTGCATGTTTTCTGCAACTGTTTACCTAGACTGTGCTTTTATAGACAAAGCTAGAAAGTTTATGCTGGAAATTTGCAAAGAGATAATTTGGTTCAATCTACTCATTTATAGATAAGGAAACAGTCTCAGAGAGTTGAAGTGTCTTGGCTAAGGTCACACAGCTGGTTCCTAGAATATTTGAAACTTCAACATAGGTTCTTTGGGTCCTATTTTTCTGTTGTTCCATCACCATGCTGGTTTGCTAGGTATAAGAGCAATTTTCTTTATAACTTTGAATTGGAGTTTCTCTTTTTGAYCAATGAGAGTGCTTATGTGTCAACTTGAGAGGTATTCCTATCCCCACCCTSCACTGTCAGGGTTTCAAATCAGTAGCATTTGAACAAAGAATGCTGAACCAACAGMACTGTTTCAAAAAGTGTAGGATTCCCTACTTGTAAAACACATTAGTTTCTCTGGGGAGTACAAATAAATGAAAGACAATTCTTATGTTCAGGAGCAACTAACATGTAGGGAATTCAGTTTTGTATCAATAAGGAAGRAAAAAAACCTCAAAAATGCACATTTCGTTGATTTAGTGTTTCCTTTTCTAGGAATCTTTTCTAAGGAAGAAAATGATAATAAAAATTTTATGCTGAAATATAYTTATTAGGGTATTACTTATAGAAAATTTGACTTTGTGGCTATTAAAATGAATGGGTTATAAGAATTAAGTGGCACTGGAAATTCTTAATGTTATTAAGCTAATAAAAATATTATAAACATATTTGATCTTATGTGAAAATTCAGCTAACTAAACTGGCAAACAATGAAGAAGGGAAATATAACAAAAAAACATGAAGTAGTAGWATGCATGACTTTTATTTCTTCATGAGTACTTTCCTGCATATCCTGTGTTTTACATTAAACATGTATTACTTTTATAATCCAGACACTCCAGACTACAGTGGTTGAGAAGTAGTGAAAATCATGGCATGGAAGTCTTTGGGAGTCTAGTTAAAACCCTGACTTCTCTGCAGAGCAGTTAAACCTCTGGAAAATTGCCCTGGAATTTGGAGTTGAATCCCATTCCATAGCTGTATGGCCTTAGGGAAGTTAGTTGTGTACTTAACTGATTCTGCTGTGAACACAGAGTGATACTAAAGCTTCAGAGGGTTCATACTGAAGATTGTAGCTAGCATCCATGGAGAGCTTACTGTTGCCAAGTTCTTTGCATACATTATCTCCTGTAATTCTCACAACAACCCTAATGTGTGTAATCTATTATTTTTCCACTTTTAGAGAAGGAGAAAACTAAGTCTCAGACAGGTTAGATCGCTTATTTAATGTCAGCAGAACTAGTTTGAACACACTTAAATCAGATTCTAGAGCTGTGTCATTAACTAACATGCTGTTTCCCAGGATAGTTAAGAAATTTGAATGTGATAAACTGTATGAAAGCAATGAGCTCTGCCTAACACTCAGTAGGTGCTCAGAAAATGTTCCTAAAGAACTTAATAAAGTGTACTAAGAAATTAGAACTGGCCCTTTGTGGATGGGATTCAAATGAAGAAACCAAATGAACAAAGTCCTTGGCAGGGAGCTGAGGAAGGGTTTCTATCCAAGCTAAGTATACTTGGGTTCTTATATGACAGAGTGGTTTGCACTACTGAACTTCAGAGACAGGCTTCTGGAGGATCTGAATCTGAAGAACCAGATACTTAGAGGTTCTGAGGATAGAGTGGGAAATCCTAAAGCAGACCTCGCTGGGTGAACAGGGTGGTAGAGTGATGGTCAGATGGTTTGTAAATAATGCCATGTGGAAAAATGAAGTTTTTGAACAATAAAATCATGCTCTTTGAGTCATTGGTTAAAGGTGTAGTTATACTTTAATTAGACCACCAGGGTTGCTACAGTGGCCACCTGTCAATGATTTTAAATAAAAAAGAATAATTCCAYTAAAATATAATAATACTTTAATGGTTTTCTTTATGAAGGAAACAGACAGACATTTTATTTGGCCCCAATCTCATTGCAGAGTTTGTTGGAACCATTTTCAAAACTGCTCAGCTTTGTRATTCAGAATGCTGTCTTCACTCTGGCCTACCTGGTGGAACTGTGTGGCTTATGTTATCGAGCTTTCACTAAGGTAAGGCTGCATGTGTGTGTTCCCGTGAAACTGGAAACTGGCAAAAATGTAGTCTTTCTAATCAGTGTCAAATCCCTGTTATTTACTTGCTTTAATACCTTAAAAATTAATAGTTCTTCTAAAGTCTGATAAATAGGATTGGAAGAAAGCACTTTAGAAAACAATATACACAAATATTTCTAAAATATACAGATTTGGAGAATTGAGTGTTGTGGTTTAGAAGAGGTACTTTCAGTGAGGGATATTAATTGTCTTAATGATCTTTTAAGGTCCTTTTCAAGGTCACCATCCCAAGGTTAGTGGGTGAGTCATCACTACATATCATTTTTATACCCAGAGTGGAACAACACCAGCTGGTCATTTGTAGAAGCCTGTGAAGCACCTTAAGGCTCATCATTTGTCTTTCTCCCAGTTCTGGGTTCATGACCTCTGAGATTCAAATCTCATCTTTTGTCATCTTGTCCTAATCATGGTTCCTCTATTGAATTATCTTTAGCACCCCCCTCCCCACAGCTGAGAAAGTGGAAAAATACCGCTTGCCCAGTTGGTACAGCAGCCTTATCGGAACCGGCACATGCTGTCCTGATGGAAAAGCAGAAGGCCAGGAAAACTTGGAGCATTTTTGTTCTTAGGACAGTGTGCRAATATTACCCTCTTGATCTCCAAATTTTCCAAATGTCTTTTCAATGGGGTCTCTGTTTCTGTTGTTTCTGCTTAAACACTCAGAATGCCCCTTTATTCATGTCACCAAGACTATGAACCCTTTATTTTCTTCATAAAAATCTAATTTTATAACAAGGCTTTCATTCTATTTCAAATGCCCTTGTCTTCTTTCTTACCAACTTGTGTCCATTCTGCCACATTAAATATTCCATAATAATCTTCTCTTTGGCCTGATTATAAACTATTTATTACCCTGCCTGGAGCAATATATTTTCTATTAAGAGAATCAGCATTTTTAAATTCTTTTAAATTTTTCTTAAAAAATATCTCTCCCCCTTTATTTCACTTTAAAAAAGTAAAACTACAACAAAAAGATGTTTTATTTTTAGAATTCATTCTAATTCTTAATTGTCTTTATGTTTAATTTGTTTAAATTCTACCTGTTTTAGGGAGGAAGACTCACAATGAGTTTGTTCGTCATGTGATGGGCACTATAAATATTGATTACTATAAGTATTGACTTCCCAGCATTACAAATTTGAGATATTTGTGATTTTGAATGCTATTATACATTATATACCTTCATAATCCATCATAATTTTAATGACATTTCACTMCCTGTTGTCATCTATCCTTCCTCATTTCTCCAACACAACATGATTGTTATTTATAGATAGTATTAATCAAGAGTGTCCTACTTTCTTCAAAGATAATGAGAAACTGTAAGAAACAGTTTAAAAACAGCAGTATCTACTTACATAATTAAAAGAAAAAGCATGGAAAAGCAAGAGCTTAGGAGACTTCCTTTTCCGGCAACATGGCAGTCCAGATAACCTGGAAACTATCTCACTTAGAATACAGAATTCTGATAAAAATGTAATAAACATGCCTTAAAAGGTTTAGTTAATTTTATAAGAATGAAAAAGGCAAAAACATGAGCTCAGAACTTAAAATTAACTCTCTCCAAATTGAAGAAATAACCTACTACAAGCTAGATTAACAAAGTCAATAAATAGCAAGTTGTCTCCTCCAAGAATGACCAATATGAAAACAAGACAAAGATTATAAAATCATGCTTTATGCCAAGTATATAAAAGATAAGAAAAAATGCAGGAAGAAATATAGTCATCACAAAAAAGACTGATTAGAATAAAATAGAAAGTCTAGAAATGAAAATCAGTCACTTACATGAGAAAAAAATCACATTCCAAGTGTGGAATCTAAGTGATCATTGACAGTATAAACATTGAATTAAACATAGCTAAAGAGAGAATTAGTGCAATGGAAACTAGACCTGAAGAAATCACATACAATGTAACAAAGTGCAATAAAAAGATGAAGGATATAAAGAGAAGTTCTAACATATATCTAATAAGTGTTTCAAAGATGCAAAATAGGCATTTTATCAATTGCAACATTAATAGAAATCATTAATTTTCTGATTCAGGAAGCACAAAGAGCCCTAAAATGATTACAAATAAACTGAAGTGTTACCTGCTTATGTCATAATTTATATGAATAGGTATWATTTGACATAAAAAACCAAGACAAAGAAACTATTTTAACAGCAACCAAGAGAAAAGACACTAAAGATAGACTGACAACAAACTTTATAATAGCACAATGGAAGCCCAAAGACAATGGAAAAATGTGTTCCAAATGGTAAAAAAAAGAACTGTTCTCCTTAAGTTCTCTACCAGCTACAATATCCTTCTGGAGTAAAGAATATATAAATATGCCATCAGGAAGATAAGAAATGTTCTAGTAGAATTTATGGAAATAATACCTATGAGATATATTACAGTAAGAAGAAAATTGAACTAAAATGGAAGAAGTAAAATGTATGAAGGCAGTTTACCAAAGAAGTTGATGAAGTGTCAAAATGCAAGTGATCATTGAAAATATAAAGCAGCAATAATAATAATAATAATAATAATAATAATGTTAATCAGATAACTATAAAAACAAAAACGACATGAAAATACTGGATATGAGAGCTTATGAGAAGTGTGTGTGTGTGTGTGTGTGTGTGTGTGTGCACATGTGCATGTACATGTGCATGTACATGCGCATGAGCAATGTTTGTAGTTGGGAATAGAAGCCCAAGCATCCTGTGTATTATTCACAAGAAGGGCAGAGATGATAAATAACTTTAAATTCTTAAGAATACATATAGCAAGGTGTGATGGTGCATATCCCTAATCCCAGCAACTCTGGAGATTGAAGCAGGAGGATCACAGGTCCAAGMCATTGGCAATTTTTCTCAAAATAAAAGATTAAAAAGCACTGTGGGTGTAGTTCAGCGTAAAATACCCCTGGGTTCAATTCTCAGTGCAAAAACAAAAAGGAAAAAAGAAAGGAATATATGTAAATGTTTTAAGTATAAACTCTGAAACATAATGTGTTAGTTCCAAACAAATAGAAGATAAATTAGATATAAAACTCACTCAAGACAAAAGAGAATCACAGAACAAGTTATAATAAGAAATTAAGAAGATAAAAATAAATTCYAAATATTTAATCAAATATRTTTGCTAGAATCAGTAGGGATTGTCAGATTGCATTATAAAAATAGACCTATATTTTTTTTATGAAAGACACATCTAATGACACTCAGAATATTTGAAAGATAAAGAGTAAAAAAAAAATTCACTAGATAAATACTAATGAAAAGAAACCTAAAGTCAGTAATCTGACTTTAAGTTAAAAACATTATGAAGTCACCATATATTGACTAAAGGAACAATTCTTCAGGAAAATGTGATAAGATGTGAAAATGTGTAAAACTCTGTAGAGCTAATAACAGCCTCAAAATATACTAAAACAAAAATTAGGATTATAAAGAGGAATTGACAAATTCACATAGTTTGAGATTTTAGAATTCAGAACTGAAAGATCAAGCAGATAAGAAACAAATGTCCAGAGTTGATTTGAATGACACAGTGAGTAAATTGGATCCAATGGACATGTAAAGAGTTTTGAATCCAYGAGTTGAAAACAATATTTTTTAAATTTAGAAATTTTTAAAACACAGAATAGGTAACAGACTATTTTTCTTTGGGGAAGGGGGTTGTTTTCGTGGAATTGGGGATCCAACTCAGGGTCATAAAACATATTGGAGAGTAGGTTTCAAGGAGACCAARTTTTCCATCATAGTGCAATTAAATTGTAAATCTATAACTAAACCATCTCTTTATGTAGATGTTCAGAAGTGGTTTGAATAAAGCCTCCACATCTATAGAGGCACTATGCACAACGTACATATATAAATTTTATTGAGTATTGAGGGAGGTGTAGAGATTTGGGACTCCCTGGTTAAATCCTAAAGCAGCTGGGAGAGCACCCCACCACACACACACACACACACACACACACACACACACACACACACATAAAAGCCACATCAGCTCACAAGCCTTCAAACATGGAGTAGTATGTACATGTATACATCACTGGTATATATATGGCTGTGCTCTGTCCCAGCTATACCCCAGGTGCCTTTAAGAGTCTTCTATTGACTGTTCCTTGTTCTTAGATGTCTATATCCTGTGTCCCCATCAGATTTTGGTGCAGTCCCTTTACCTGCTGGGGTTGGGGAGTGTGTGGCCTTGAGGGTGAGTGTGATTGGGTGAGAGTAGATATGTACATATGCGGTCAGGGCTGTTGACTGCCAAAGTCCTRAAAACTCAGATGGTTGTTCAGGCTTTGTAATCATGTATTAGTGTGTGTTTTCTTTTTTCAATTCATACAAAGATGCTATATGGGTTATTGGCGTCTGAGATTTGCTATATTTGGAAATAAAAAAATACTTGTAGGGCTGGGGATGTGGCTCAAGCGGTAGCGTGCTCACCTGGCATGCACRGGGTGCTGGGGTTCCATCCTCAGCACCACATAAAAATAAAATAAAGATGTTGTGTCCACCAAAAACTAAAAAATAAATAAATAAATATTTAAAAATTCTCTCTCTCTCTCTCTAAAAAAAATTCTTGTAAATAAGGCAAAGAACACAGGAAATATTATAAGAAAATTTATAGAAGTATTTAATACTAAACAAGTATGAAAATATTCCCTTTTCAAAATTTGACAGATATAGCCACAGAGATATTTAAGAGAAATTTTGTTTTAAGCACTTTTTACTGAAAAAAACAAAAAGAGAAAGAAAAGCTAAATGAACTAAACAAGTCAGCTTAAGTTATAATAACAGGGTAATCACCGAAAATTTAAGGAAACAAATGATGGAAGATAAGAGCAAAAATCAATAACATTAAAAACATGGATATAATAGAGTGCCAATACAACTAAAAAGTGGCTCTTTGATTAGACTAATAAAGTGAGCAAACCTTTGGCAAGATTGATCAGAAAAATAGATAAAAGATATAGGTAGCAATGAAAAAGGGAAAATAACTGTAGACTTAATGGAGATTCAGAAATGACCAGCTTTATGCTTATTCCAGTACATTTAAAATCCTTGACATGAGGGACAGCTTTCTAGAAAAATGTAATGTGTGATAATCTGGAAAAAGAAAAAACTAACTAGTTTTAAATAAGTAAAAAAAGACATTCAATAGTTAAAAACCTGTCCAAAAATACTATTACAGCCTCAGAGACACTTTCTGTCAAAATGTGGGAATAGGCTTATCCCTGCTTCACACAAATTAATGAAGTGGAAAAGAGGGAATATTTCACTTCCCAACTCTTTTTATGAGCACAGTAGAATCTTGATACCAGTCATACAAGGGCAATAGGGGAAAGGAAAATTATAGGCCAATATCTTTTCATACATGAAAAAAATAGAATGAATAACAGCAATCAATGCATTAAAAATAGAACATCATGACCCAGTTGGGATTTTCCTGAAGTACAAAAATGGTTTAAATATTAGAATATCTATAATGTCACATAGTGCCAGATTAAAGGAGAAAACTTTTGGCAATTTTTTAGCAGATGCAAGAAAAGCACTTTTTTATAATTCCATATTCATTTATCATATAGTCTTATCAAAGTAGCAATAGAAGGGAACTTCCTTAACTTAATAAAAGGAGGTCTACCAGAAACCTCTAGCAAGCCTTATTTTAATGGTGAAGTGCCACCAATCCCCTTAAAATCATAAGTCAAGGATGCTAATATCATTGCTTCTGTTCATCATAGTGCTACTTTGTTAAGCAAGAAAGGAAGAATAACTTAAGTATAAGACTTAAACAGGAAAAATACAACTCTCATTTTCCCTAGGTGATGTGATTGCAAATGGACCAAAGAGAATCTATAGACACCTTTTTAGAATTTACAACAGAGTTCATAAAGGATGCCAGATACAAATGAATACCCAGAAATGACCCATTTTAATGTTAAGCCACATGTGATTATAAAAATGTACTTTAAATTTCATTTGTTGTGGCAACAACAAAAAAAATCTAACAAGAATGTGCAAGAATGAGACAACAAGAAAATTTTATTGAAGAACGTTGAATAAATGGAGAGATCCTATTTTCAAGGACAAGAACCAATTAATAAAAATAGTTCTTTCAGAATAATCTGTAATTTTAATGATGAGCTAGGTAATTTGCACCTATCTTCCCATTTAACGTTAAAAATTTTTTTTTTAAAAGTGCACATTTTCATTTAAACTTAAAACTATCAAAATTCTAATCACATACAGAGGAATTGTGAGGCCAGGATCTCGGAGAACACTGAAACACAGGGTTGCAAGCCTCACACTGAAGGTCAGTTTTGCCCTGTGGGTGTTTGTTGATCTAAAAGATCTGGTTGAGAGGCTCAGTTGCAATTTTGGAAGCTGCCTGAGGCTAGGGAGAAGAAAGTCAGTTGGGGGACATAACAAGAGTGGGAACCCTGATACCATATCCCTCAACCCACATATCTTTGCTTGGGACCACAAAGTACAGATAATTTAGAAGTATACTTGTCTTCAGTGGGCACAGCTTAGTGTCAAACCCAAGGTAAGACATTACAAGCCTGTTTGTAGATGAAGGTAACCTTGATTTGCCATGCACCTGGCAAAAAGCAAACTGAAAGCTCTTGGAAGGAAGGTAACATTTTAGCTGTAAGTTATTTCTACAAATAATTTTTAAATGGAGCATCCAGCATACAGTCAACAATAACAGACATACAAGGAGGCAAGATGTGAGTGAAAGTGAATAGCGGGGAAAGATCCTGAACACAGACCCACAGGAACTCTATTACTTACTTATGGAAGGATCAAGGAAGGACTCCCAGGCCCTTGAAAGGGAATTGCAACGTGCTGTTTTCATCTCTGGGTGGCAATTACATGAGTGTTCAATCCATCTTGATCCACTTAACTGTATGCTTATATTTTATGTACTTTTCTGCATGTGTGTTATACTTGACAATAAAAAAGATTTATAAAATTAAAATCCATCCAATGTGCTATCAATAGCAGGACTGATTGATGAATATTGCTATATTCATACAATAAAAATGCTATTAAGCTGCTGAGTTGAGAGCTAAGTTTATTAGTAGGGATTATTTTTAAAACTTATGTAGTGGGCTGGGGATGTGGCTCAAGTGGTAGCGCCCTTGCTTGGCATGCGCGGGTCGCTGGGTTTGATCCTCAGCACCACATAAAAATAAAATAAAGATGTTATGTCCACCAAAAACTAAAAAATAAATATTAAAAAATTCTTTCTCTCTTAAAAAAAACTTATGTAGTGAAGTCACTATTATGCACAATATGATACCATTGTAGAAAGTTTTTTAAAAAATGGAACAATATTCTATGTTCTAATGGAGGTATGTATATAGTCAAAGTGTGAAAACATACATGAAAGATTAAGCAACAGATTCAGAATGGTGCCTACTTTGAAGAAGGGAGGAAGAAAAAGAAGGGTACTCTATAGATATATTCAACTGTTTCTGTAATGTTTCATTTATCATTTTGAAAAGGCTAAATTAAATAAAGCAAATGATACTGTTTGGCAAGATGGGGGTAGGTATACAACATATTCCATTCTCTTTCTTTTTCTGTATACTTGAAATAGTCCACTTAAAAAATGAGTTCCTTGGAGAAAATATGGAACTTTTTAAACAGTTACATGAGTTTCTCTCTAACTCATTTTGTATTGAAAAATGCTTTAGATTTGTTTAATTGTTGCAGTTTTTGGAATCTATTTCTTAAGACTGAGTACTAAATCCTATGGTTTTATATTTAAGAAACAGTCTATCACTTMATATCCATTAAATTATGTGTCCTTATTGCTTCAGTAAACTCATTATGCATGCAAAAATGCCTTTTTCTTTCTTGCTTTAATTTGATTTCTTCAGCACAGCTGTGCTTTTTAAAATATTCTTATTTCTGATCTTGGAATTTGGGGAAGCTCTTTGACATATATCTACTCTAACTACATTTTTAAATCACTTACCTTTGCTGTTTTGTTTTTTTCCAGGAACGGGATAAATTCTACTTATCTCGTAGTGTTGTTCTGGAACTTCTACAGGCCCTGAAACTCAAATCTCCTTTGCCAGATACAAACCTCCTTCTGCTTGTCCAGGTAGGCTTATGCTGTGTTTGTAAAATGCTTTATGGGGTCCATGCATACTTGGAAAGATTAAGAGATGAGGGGCAGATGCATAAGTGCCAGGTGCCTTTGTTCAGAGATGAGAAATAATATATTGTATATGAGCCAAAGTTCTAATAAATATGATGCACTCAGCACTTCCACTGGCTTAAAAAGAAAAAAAAGAAGCATTAGTTTTGACCCTAGTGAGGAACTGGTTCTGTGAGGGACAAAAAGAAGAATGAGGCAATAGTTTCTATCCTCGAGAAATTTGTAATCCAGTAGGTTGGAGGGGGAGCTCCCTCACCAGAGCGGAGATAGGCCAAACGAAGCAAAACATGGGGCAGCAGGCTCCAGAGTGATCACAGAGTCCGCTCAGTGTGGCTGAGTCAGTGAATGTTCTGGAAGGTGAGGTGAGCCAGGCCAGATACTGTAAATAACAGGATGTGCTGGTCCAGTCGAGGTGTAGGTGGGTGTAAATCAGCTATCGAAAGATCACTGAGGCAGACTCTGGAGAATCAGCTGTCATCATGCTGTTGGGTGTTGCTTTGAGGACACATGCATCCTCAGTGACCTTAACTCAGCATCTAAGACAAACAGACAGATTTTGATCACCTGAGACAGGCTGTGAAGGGTGCCATAAGAGAGAGAGGTAAACAGTTTGTGGGGAATTTGAGAGCAGGAGTGATCCCATCTCATGTGGTATGAAATCAGGGAGGACTTCAGAAGAAGTGACWTTTGAGTTGAGTCACAAAGGATTAGTGGGTGCAGACAAATTTTTTTTTTTTTTGGCCTGGAGTTGGGGTTTGGCCCAGAGCTTGACTGGCTTCAAACAATAGGGGAGACAGAGGCAGGAAGTTAGAGTAAATTTAGGGACAATGACATGAGGATGGAACTGAGCACAACAGGCCGGTAGCGTTAGAGGAGTCCACAGGCATCTAGTAAACTGGGCCCCTGCCTCCACTCCAGGAGCTGAGGCTGGACTTAAAGCCATGAGCTGCAGTGGATCAGGGTATCATTCAGATGGCCATTGCACAAAGTGCCCACTAGCCAAATCACAGCGGTTTCCATTCTCCCTGGATTAGCATTAAGGCCAGTTCCAGAGTCTGGGCCTGCCAGTTAGAGGTTAAATGCCTGAAGGAAATTGGGAGCTTCGCATCAAGGAACTGGAAAGAGAGCTAAGATGTGGAGAGATAAAGGCAAAGAGAACRTTTAATTGATTAATTGAACGTCTATTTTATGTTAAGCCATTATGAATCTTGAAACATGCAGGTGCTATTGCAGGATGATGGGGAAGAGATGAGGTCCTTTCCCTCCAGGAGTTTAGACTCTAGTAGGTGAAGTTGATATGTAACCAAAACTTTAAACATAGTGTATAGGTAGGTAATAAGAGACATGTGCTGAGTTAGAAATTGGTGTCAAAAAGGGACCATGTGGACGTTGAAGGACACACAGAAGTTCAAGTTTACCTGGTAGAGAAGAGGAGAACCACACTTGTCATTTACCAWGGGATATCCCCTGCATGGTTCCCTGACTTTCCCACTATACACTAATCATTAGGACCAGAATTGAGTTTTTCTCATAAGCCTGAGATTTATTAAAAAATTGGTGTTCTTTCAATGTATACCACTTTCATTGTATAGCCCAGGAGGAAGACAGAAGCAAGGACACAATCAGAAAGTATCTGTGCTCCTAAGGAGAGACAGACTGGATTTCTCCCAGCGGGTTGTTACCAGCAGCCACTCCTACTCTCATAACCTCAGTAGCACTATCTTTGAGTACAAGTAAAGCTGACCTTAAAGATGAACAGGCTCTCCCCTGGAGGAGGGGCARGTGCACAGGCTTTAGTGAAATAGCCCAGGAGGGATTTAAGGGTAGCATTGGCAGTGTCTGCAAGTGTTGATGGCATTTCAGTGGTGGATGTGCACCCAAAACAAAACTAGATTTCGGGGCCCTGAGGGTGCTTTCCTGTAGACCTCAGTCTTGAGCAAAGCAGTTCTGTGTGGCTGATCTCCTTGGGGTCTGGCATCCCACACGGTAACTGCTGGGAGCTGGATTTCTATGAAGTACGTTAGTCAACCATAATAAGCACTTGTCACTAAACAGCAAAAGAACACTGGCAGTTTAAATTACTTAATGCTTAAGGAAACTATGAAAACAGTGATTATTGCATCACAATTAGGTGAATAAATAACAAAAACAAATTAGCTTTAGGAAGAAAGAAGGCAAAAAGTAGACATTTCTAAGTGTATTTTATGAATTTCACCTTYTGTTTCAAATGTAACACTTTTATCTTAAATATGTATGTGTGCACACACACAGTCATTGAATTGTGAAATTTAAAAAGTCAAGTTGTAAAATTATTCAGATTGGAGAAGTGATTTGAAGACATTTTAAGTTTCTGCCCATGATGTACAACTTTTTGAATAATGTTTCATCCTTTTATGGCAAAAAAAGTTAAAAATCATACCATTTTGAAGTAACACATCCTTCTTTTACAACCTCTTAGAGTAAATCATTTCCATTATTAATGAGAGAATGAAAGGGAGGCATACCCTGAGAACATAGTAGTTCCCTTTCCCACCCAGGGCTGCACAAATTATGGAGTCCTCCATGGGGTAAGGGAGGAGCACCTTTATCCCTCTTCATGACCAGAGCATCTTTCTGTGAGTTTCCTAGTTCCTTTTTTCTTGTCCTTGATTGCCTGGACCCTCATACTATTCTCAGGAGGATGATGGAGGTGGCAGCCTGCTCTCCCATAGCTCCTCTTAGGCTGGAGGCTCTAGGCTGGACTCAAGGGAAGCGTTCTCTTTACTGATGGGCACTGTCAGTTTCTGGCAYCTGGACAACCAGGCTTACAGCACAGACAGAATGGTTCCAGAGAAGCCAGACTTTCTTCATGGATCATCAGTGGCCAGTCTGAAGGCAGTAGAGGCATGTCTGTTCAGCTGAAAATGCCCTTGGAAAACAGAAAAGAAAAGAATAATTGGGAGGAAAACTACCCCAGTGAACCCCATGAACACTGGTTCCATCACTGAGAAGACTCAGTTGTCCCAGCCTTGGGCTCACCAGTGACTCTTTTACCCTGTGAGGAACCACTGTTTGTTTCATCTACTTCTCTAATTCGTACCTTAGTAGACGGGTACATTTACTGAGGTGGAACCTTACGGTCTTCTCAGGCAGGCCATACCTTTGTTGTTTACCAGACASTCTAGCAGTACAAGAAACCCCTCAGAGGACACTGGAACTCTTGCCCAAGGAATGTGGGGTTACCAAATCTAAACATTCCAAGGCAGTAACAGGTACCACCAGTCTGCTTTTTTTTTTTTTGTGGTGCTGAGGAKTGAACCCAGGGCCTTGTGCTGCATGCGAGGCAAGCACTCTACCAACTAAGCCAAGCTATATCCCAGCCACCAGTCTGATTTTTAATTCCCACCAAGTCTGCCTGGGCCTGACATCAGGGGAGATTGCCCAGCCTCTCCTTGTGGTTGTCTGTTATTATTTGTTTGCTGTTGCTGTTATATTTCTTTCAGTGAAGTCAGGTAATCTTAAATTCTCAAGTGGAATTTCCCCCCCCCCCAAAGAAAAAGAGGCACCCAGACAGGAAGTAATTTGACAAATAGAAAAAAAAGTGACCCTTTTCAGAATCTAAAATTGTCAACCACTAAGCCACATTTCTCCATCTATACTTGGGACAGATGGACTGTCATGTTATTTTTTAATTCAAATCTAGTAACATTTTTGCCTTGGCTTAAACATTTGTCTTCTGCTGGTTTGCTATAGATATTTGATGTGTGAGAGATTATTCTAATTGTTCTTGAGATGGATTAAAGGAAAGCATTCATAATAGAGCAATAATCCACTGAAAGTCATCATAAAAACTAAGTTCAAGTCAAAATGAATTTCCCCCAGCTCTTTTATGGTTCAAGAGTAGATATTCTGCTAATTTGCATGTACCACTCCCACTCTGTGGGATATACCTGCATATTCAAGTTATGAGAAGTCATGTTGGTAAAAGGTTTTCTTTTAAAAATAGACTGATTGTGGGCTGGATGACAAAGAAATGGCAGTGGCACGGCTGTTGTCTCTAATTCACAGTCACTGCTGAGTGGAGTTGTTCATATCAGTTAGGTTCATCATAGTSTAATCACTCTCTGGGATGAGAGGTGGAGATACTATTTTGGGTATCATTTTGATAATGAATTTAGTAATGACACATAATGGATATCATGTTTCTTTTGTGTTCTTTTGTACTCCTGGAGGAGTGCATATTTCAGTGTCATATTTCTCTCTCTGAAAGTATGGAATTCTTCTTTCTACAGCAATTATCATTCCCCACTCTGATTTTATTTAGTCATATCTTTATACTTGGAGCAGTTCTGTGCAGATCTGGTGGAGTTCTTTACTGTTGTGGTTGGCAGCCATAATGAAGTAAAGACATTCATATGCTGGGCTCTTTGAGGCACCTCCATTACTTTAGGGTAATTTTTGATTGATTTGGACTTGCACAAGTCATCACAGATCTGATAGGTGGTGACTGCTTACATGCTGTTGAGGAGCTCACACTGTCCTCAGTCTGGTTTACTGAGAGTGGCAGGTGGCGAAGGTGCCTGCTGAAGGCACACAATGGTGCTTGAATGTTTTACTTCTTTGCAGATCCTGTCTTGCCATCAAGGGCCACCAGGCATGCAAGCACCCATTGGGGGGCCCAGACTTTGAACCATACATAAAGGAACAACTCTAAGCACCCCATACCTCGTGCATTAGGTGTACTCTGTCTTCCCTGTAGCCTCTCTTAGCTGTGCAGTTGCAATTCTGTTGTAAATAAATTAGTTAAAATGAATGCCGGTGTCCTGACTAAGATTTTGGACTTAGGTATAAGTCATTTGCTTCCAATTGCAGACTCAGAGAGCTTTGGAAAATACTGTCTCTGTGAAAACATGCAGCATCTGTCAGGAGGTCAAGTTGGGGTGCTCCTGCTGCTTTTCACTTGGTCCTTCTATCAAGTGTTATTGTTTTATTTTTTCACTTACAGGTTTTGGCCAAAGTTAAAAGCTTCACAGCTTTTAAACCTGATTTAGTCACTTTTCCTTATACAGCATTAGAATAAATCTAAGTTAGGTGAAAAAACATAAGCATACCTGAATAAGATAATAGAAATTTTTAGGCTTCCCAGGATAATCCCAGCTGCTACTTTCTTTTCCAGATTCAGAGTAGCTGGCCTAATACATTCCTCACATTCAGTAATAGCATTTGAGACAAATGGAAATGACAAAATGTTAATGAGGAGATCTGGTATCCACTTCTGTCATTCAACTCCCAGGACAGCTCTGCCTGCTACTGTCTGCCCCAAGCCTGGTTACCTGTACCTAAACACCTTTCATGAAAAACCACATATCCCAAAGTTGAAGACCAGTTCTTAGTCATTATGCAAGAATTCTCAGGGCTCCTGGCCTCAGAAGGCTTTTGCCTTGTTAACCCAAACCTGCTGTCCAAGAATAGTGCTTAGACTTGGGCCCCTACTTAGCCAGACAATATACTAGTTTCTGTTCGCTTGTTCTAGAGCTCCTCAGCAGGCCTCCCTGAGATTTTCTGTGTGACCCTAGTCTGTGTTACTCCTCCCAGTTTGCAGGGAAGAAGCCTACCTGGCTGCACTTGTGGTCTTGACCCATCCAGCTTCCCTGTGCCTTCTGCATAGATGACAAGGAAGAGCTCTTGGTGTCAAAACTTCTTCAAAGCTTCTGGACTCTGCATAGCAGCTTCAGATCTCAAAGGGTCACTGGCCAAAGGCCAAGGAAGAAAAATTAAACAGGAGTAAATGACTCATAGTCAACTTTTCAGACCTTGTTTAACTTCTTTCCAAAAACTATAAGTAAATAGTTGGATGTTACATTAAGTGGGAAACACCTGCCAAAATCTGTAAGGAAGCAAATTAAATTGTAATCTGGCACATCTTTCTTCAGTGTGATCTCAAGTTAGAATTGATTAATTGGCTTCTTTCTTAAACTCTTGCTGAGCCCCTCTGGGATGCCAGACACTAGCTAGTGCCGAGGAGAGGTACTTGAAGGCTGGGTTCTTGAGAAGCTTGTGGCCAGCTGAGAAATAGACTGTTAGGTTGCCACCGTCTAATGTGATGGCTCTTGCAGTGGACATGTAAAAAGTCATGTGGGTATGTGGAGCACGACTGGTGTCATTCTTGGCCCAGAGGAGACATGTGAATGAAGTGGGGGGAGGAAGACAAGACACCAAGGATCCTTGGAGGGGATGAAATAGGCAGAGCACTTGCTCTGAAGCTGACTTTCTATTTTCATTCTGAATACATACTGTAATGACAGACGTCATGAAAATCTATGAAACCTTGCTAATAGTAACTGCCAAAAAGTGCTACAGAATAAATAGAATGAGTGACTTGTGGGGGGAGCTGAGGCAGGAGGATTGCAAGTTTGAGGCGAACCTGGGCAACTTAGTGAGACCTGGTCTTAAAATAAAAAGGGTGGGAATGTAGCTTAGTGATAGAGCACCCCTGAATTCAAGTGCTTCTCAGGGTGGGGGGATAATAAATAGATTGACTCCAGAGTAACTCTGACAATGTTGACATCTTTTATTTCTTCCACGATTGAACACACCATTTCAATACCACCTGGTTTTTCTGGGCAAAGTAAAATCTGCATGCTCATGCAATTTCTATGCTGATATGAATGAACTGTCATGATTAACATGATTAACTGAGGAATCCAGGGCGGACTGTCAAGAAAGTAAACACTAATGAGTTTAAGCCATTTTAATAAAATTACAAATTACTTATTACTGTCCAAATACTCTTAAAAATAATTATCCTTTCTTTTTTATTAGTTTATTTGTGCAGATGCTGGAACCAAACTAGCTGAATCAACAATCCTGAGCAAGCAGATGATAGCCTCTGTCCCTGGAGTAAGTCCTGACCAAATTAATTGTCTGCATTTTTGTATTTCATAAAATAGTGGTTATGAATGTAGGCTTTAGAGTCACACCAGGGTTTGAGGCCTGCTTTTACTAGCTGTGTGATTTTGTGAAATTATTTAACCTATGATTCTTTGATTTGCATCATCTGTAGAATAAGCTATAACTGGGCCTAAGGTACAGGCTGAGGGTGACTGGGACGATTCATGTAAAGCATATTCAAACAGTGCCAGCCATGTAGTTAGTAATGCATAGATTTCGTTGCCTATAATATCTATTAAAAATAATATTAACAAGCATTGCCTATTGTTGGATACTTTTTATTATTTTCTGCAATTGTAATTAATATGCAATGAACACCTTTGTGCATAAATCTTTGTACTTTGGATTACTTCTTATAGATTTCTGGAGTAGAATTATTATACTTTTAATGATATAAGTTTTTTTTAAGTATTCTTTGTAGTAATTAGGGTAATGAAAGATGCTATGAGATAAAATCCCAATTCCCAGCAATTTAACACCAAAGAAACTTATTGTTCCTGTGAAATTTAAGTGAGCACACTGATGTCAAGGGAAAGGAACTACCACGCGTGGGCTCAGGGCTCAGGTTTCTTCCTTCATCTGCAGTCCTCTGCCATTCACTGGTGCTTGGGGAAAGAGAAGAGAATGAGGTACATGGGAGATTTTCGTGGGTCAGGTCTAGAAGTGCATATTTCTTCTACTCACATTTTTTTGGCTGGAGCCCAGTCACATGAGCACACACATCTAACAGCCAGAGAGGATGGGGAATGTGATCTACCTGTGTGCTAGGGAAGAAGAAAAGTGGCTCTGGGAAGTGGCCAGTCCCTCTGCGACACCCTCAGTGTTCCTGATTGATTAACTTTAGAACTCAATATTTGCTACCTATCATAGTTTGGGAAAAAAAGCCCTAATATGTAAAAGGTTTAATGAAATCAGTAAGTAGAAGGCAAATGTTCAGTAACAACAACAAAGCAGCAGTTGTAGGATTCACATATAGAACCTTTCCAAGGACCAGTTAATAAGCCATTTGAAAGAAACCTTTTACCCTTACATGTAATCAATGAATTACAAATTAATAAAATAAAAATAAAAGTAAAGCAAAATAAAAGAATATTTGAAAATATAAAAATTAAAATTGGCTAGTAAATCAGTATATTTATTTTTCTTTTTTAAAAATAGTTGCTTTAATGGAAGGGAAAAATCCCTCTATTAGCATCTAGTTGACCTTAATTGGCTGGGGGGGGGGGGAGGACAGATATAAAAAGCACTGTGTCCTTAATGTATGCCGCTTGATGATTGGAGATGGAATATACCTGTGGAACTGTCACAGCACAATCTCTGCTTATCTCCCATCTCCCCATTTGCTTATTTATTATTATTATTATGATAAGAACACTTAATATATAAGAACACTTAATATATTATAAGATCAACCCTTGTGACAAATTTTGTGTTCATGGTAGCATTGCTAACTGCAGGCACTGTGCTGCCCAGTAGAGTTCCAGGGCTTATTTATCTTGCATAACTGAAGTTTTGTACCTTGTGGCTGGTACCCCCATCCCAGAGTTTTCTTGATGATTAAACTTATTTATGGTGAAGGGAAACAAGCATTTTAGCTGTTGGTGGTAGTGAAAGCAACTTTACTAGAGTACAGTTTAACAAACTACTTCTAGGAATATGTTTGAGAAAATAAATATGCATCAAAAGATTTATAAGCAGGTATATGTTGTAAAGCATCTCTTAAAATAGCAAAAATATGGAAACAAAAATAAGTGTCCAATATTAGAGTTTTGTTTAATAAAGTAAGGTACATCTGACTATTACAATGTGGCTACTAAATCAATGTTTCAAAGAATATTTAAGTAATTGGAAAATGCTTGTGATGGATTTAATTAAAAAGCAAATTAGCAAAAGGTTGTTTCAGTCTTATAAATATTATGCATATGTGTGCTTTTTTATATGCATTCAAAAAACTTGAAAGGAAATTTTAACGGTTAGTTTTCAAAGAGGTGGAGAACAAGTATTAGGATTACAGTGATTTTAATTGTTCTTTTTAGTAACTTGTATTTTCCAAATTTTCTACAATGAGCATACATTCTTCTATAATTAAGAAATGTAACTTAAACCTCAGATATATTTTAAAGAAGAATTGTGTGTGCTCTGCTTCAATTCCTGTGTCTGAGGTTAGAGTACATTTTTCCACTCCTTTTTCATCATTTTCCTATTGAAATGAATATGGGCCTCTGAAACAAATGGAGCTTGACTCCTTATGTTCTGTTTTGTTTTTAAAAATATCACATCTAAGTTATACTTCTGCTTTACAAAGTAGAAAAAGAGGAATTGTAAATTACCTATTTTGTTTTGTGTATGTAGCTGGCTCCCTACATCCTGAATAAAAAGTGGATTTTAAGGCTTTTACTGGGCATAATTGCTGTCTCTAGAACAAAATACCTATGTAATAGTAAAGTCTTTGCTCTCATTTCTTGAGATTCAGACTTAAAAGGTGAATATTGAATAATGCTCTTGGTAATGACTTTCCGTGACATTTGCCTAGTTGAACTGGTATAAAATACTGCTTATGAAAGAAACAAATCCCTTTCAAGAAATTCAAGAACAGAGTCTATGCTCCTATTTGCATGATGTGTGAAAGGTCAAAGAAAATGGAATAAACCAGGGGGAAATCCTCCTTGCACAGAAGGATTCATATTGCAAAAGCAGGAACACAATAACCTTTTACAATTCCTTCACTTGATTCAAATTAAAAGAAGAAAACCTTAGAACATATGAAATGCTTGGAAAACACTCTGACAGACTGCCACTAGCCTTATTTTACTGTTTGTTATCCTGTCAGAAGAACTGACAAGCGTAACATTCTAGAAGAGAGAGGAGGTGATAGAGTTCAGTGCTATGCAGATTTACATGAATATGGGAAAATGAGAGCCACTGGGTGAGCTAGTTAAGTCTATAATGTTCCAGATTTTCCTAAAGAAAGCCAAGAGAAGCCTTTAGCATGGTATTCATACCGCTTCAAAGACTGCCTGCTTTTGATCCACATTATACCCGGCCTGATGTGTGGGTTCTCTCATAAGGCTTTGATGTAGCAGCCTGTCTATTCATTTTCCTTTGCTTTGCTTATAATCCTACATTTGCTGCATTTCCCCGAGAAGGCAGGTCTCTGCCGCTTAATAACCTCAAACACAAACATGCTTTATTTTCCTTTAAAAGTTCCCTAACATACTTTAGGTATGTACAGAAGGTGACCATTTTTGTTTCTTTCTCCTATCTATCTCTAGCAAGAACTTGACATGGATACCTGTGTCTATTTAGTAGTGCCCCGACTATCTACATGAAGTTAAGTTGTAAGCGACTTGACTTGAACATAAGAATTTTTGAGTCAGCAAAACAATGTTTATATATATTTAGTTAGTAATATATATGTGCACACATTTAAAGAGATAAGATTCTGGTGGTGAAGTTTGGTAACACATTTTACTTACATTTTAGATTTCCCCAGAGTGATAGTGTTAACAGTAGTTTTGAGGTGATAATGGCATTATGTATGATTCATGTGTACAGACCAGCTTAAAAATAAGCAAAAATCAGTCTCATTACCCAGGGGAAACAGCATTTAACTCTGCCCCTGGAAGGCGCCCCTGTGTCTTTACTCTGCCACAAACCTTTGAGTAATTTCTGCCCAAACCATGGGCAGACAGTCACAGACTAAGCTGGGTGGTAGAGTGAGTCAGAAATCCAGAAAATGCAACAAGTCCTTAGCAAAGAGGGTACAGCTAGAGTGGGTTGGAAAGAAATGCAGCTGTGGCCAGTCGTGTGCTTGTGTTTCAGTGTGGGACCGCAGCCATGGAGTGCGTGCGGCAGTCCATTGGTGAAGTGCTGGACTTCATGGCGGACATGCACACGCTGACCAGACTGAAGGTAGGACCCCATCTTCTCATATCTTAGTTTCACTAAATGCAAGATGTTTTTAAAGGATTAAACAGACCATGTGGGGAATTTATTGGTACCTGGGGAGGCAGCTAGAACATTGTTAAATGAGCCCATATCTTGGGGTCTGAAGAACTAGAGTCCAGTTCTGCTAAAAAAGAAAAGAAGAAAGATAGTCATATGACATAAGCTTTGTACTACCTTTATTTTTGCCATTTATTCAGTTTCACAATATCCCTATTATAATATTATCCCCATTTTACAAATTCAGGAACTGAGGCTTGGTCTGATGTAGCATTTTGGTCAAGGTGACACTACTAATAAGTAGTTGAACCTAAGGCTGTTGTGACTCCCAATCCATCTCCTTTTACTGCACCACATGGAGTCATTTAACTCCCTGGAGCTTCAGTTTCCTCATTTGCAAAGTGAGTCTATGACACCTCCCTTGCCTGATTGTTATAGGGTTTATATAAAATAATGTATGCAAGGAGAATTTCTTACACAGTAGCACCTTATGCAGACATAGCCATTTATTTTTTTATCTGCAATTGAAGTTATCTTCTTCAAGAAAATAATTAAAGAGGGGCTGGGGTTGTGGCTGAGTGGTAGAGCACTTGCCTAGCATGTGTGAGGTACTGGGTTCGATTCTCAGCACCATGTATAAACAAATAAATAAATAAAGGTCCATCAATAACTAATAAAAATTTTTAAAAAGAAAATAATTAAAGAAGGGGAGAGAACAAAATTTAATTTGCATATGGACAAAATCTCAGTGAAGTTGTTGAGTTTATTGATTGTTTTACAAGGTGGAATGAATAACTGATATGGGTCCACTTCTCTTCCATGATTCAACCAGGGAGCCAAAAGATTAATAATCTGAAAGTCTTGAGGAAGGCCCTGGATGGAGGGCAGATTAGAATCCAAACATGACCCAAGAGCAGCCAAATTGCAATTTAGCACTGAATGATTTCTTTTTGATAAACAAGAACTTAGTGATCCAAGAAGTTCAACAGCTAAAATTGTGGTTCCTTTTTCACTGAGCTTAGTTTTTAGACGCTGCTTAGATGATCTTGGTACAGTGATAAATTTGCAAATGTTAGGTGCAAAGGAGAATCAAAATTAAGCTCATTATGTGTAATCTAGAGAAGAAAAATAAAGAATGACATGAAAGTAGGGGGGGATTATAAGAGAGGTGAGAGGGGACACGGGGGAGGTGGGAGGAGAGGAAAGATAGGGAAGCAGGGAAGGTAGATATGACCAGAGTATGTTATATGCATGTGTGAAATTATCACAGTGAAAGCCACTATTTTGTACAATTAACACATTAATAATTATAATTTTAAAAATAAGCTGAAAATTTCTCATCATGTGTAAACTCTGTCATTTTTTTTGGTGGTGGGGGGGGGCAGGTACCAGGAATTGAATTTGGGAACTTGACCCCTGAGCCACATCCTTAGCCCTGTTTTGCATTTTATTTAGCGACAGGGTCTTGCTGAATTGCTTAGCACCTTGCTTTTTCTGAGGCTGGCTTTAATTTGTGGTCCTCTTGTCTCAGCCTCTGGAGCTGCTGTGATTATAGGTGCCCAGCTTAACCCCAGTCATTTTTTTAAAGCAAGAATATGCATTTTATATCTATCTTATTTATTTGTATGTGGTGCTGAGGATCGAACCCAGGGCCTTGCACTTGCTAGGCAAGTGCTTTACCACTGAGCCACAATCCCAGCCCCAACCCCAGTTATTTTTAAGAAAACTCCCCTACCATTTGGTCACATGCTGATTACTAATTACTGAATATAGGTGCCCACACTTAAATGACATTGATGCATAAAGAAGAGGAAATGATTATTACTCAAGCATTTTGAGATTGTTTTGCAGACATTTTCAAAAAATATTAAGAAAGAGACATAGGCTGGGTATATAGCTCAGTTGGTAGAGTGCTTGCCTTGCATGCACTAGGCCCTGGGTTCAATCCCCAGTACCACACAGACACACAGACACACACACACACACACACACACACACAAAAAAAAAAAGATCCATGATGATTAAAAGGTTGGAAACTGTAGACATAATCCAACCATCTGACCTTGCATATTAGGAAACAGATCAGAAAGGTCAAGTGGCAAGTGGTTTCTCTCAGGCCATGTAGCTAGTTAAGACAGGAGTGGGTCTCAAGTCCCAATTCACTTTATTTTCCCATGAAGCCACACTAAGCATAAGGCTTTCAAAATTAATTAAGAAATATGTATTGAGCACCTATAATGTGTCTAGCTCTGTTCTAGCATTGGGGCTGCAGTAGTGAGCCAAAGCAGACATAATTGCTGCCCCCACTTAACTTATAGTCTACTAGAAAACTGAATTTAATGAACATTTCACACAAACCAAAGTGAAATTATGACTCACAATTGGTATAAAGAATGAGTAGACAGTGGCATGGACCAGCCAAGGAATTCAGGGAAGGCTTCCTAGGGGAAGTAACTCTTGAGCTAAAATCTGAACAAATGGGTGAAAAGGGCAGGGACAGTATTTCAGGCAGAGGAACAGCAGAGCCAGTGCAGCTAGAGCTGGGATGGATGGAGGTGAGATGTGGAGGCTGCAGGAATCAGACATTCTGGCTGTACAGGTCCTGCTGAGGAATGATTCCCTACTTGGTCCTAAAAACGATGTGAAACCATTCTAGTTTAATCAGGTTGTGGGCTTGAGGTGGTGATGGGAGGGGAAGGGACAACCTGATGTTTGAAGAGTGCCTGGCATGTCTCCACTGTCTGCCAAAGTCACAAAATATCATTTGGTTTTGCAGAGCCACATGAAGACGTGCTCCCAGCCTCTGCATGAAGATACATTTGGCGGACACCTCAAAGTGGGTCTGGCTCAGATTGCTGCTATGGAAATCTCCCGGGGCAACCACAGAGATAACAAAGCCGTGATCCGCTATCTGCCTTGGCTCTACCACCCTCCTTCTGCCATGCAGCAAGGGTAAGACCCTTGTTATTCTAGGGATGAGGGAAGACAAGACCAGAAATGCCCCTGAGGCTCCTGGGGCTCATCCAGAGCTTGCCATGCACTGAAGAGTCATGAGAGTCAAGTATGATTGGTTAGGAAGATGGAAATCAGGGTCCCACCCCATACCTACTTGCTGACCTTGGGCACCTTGTGGGATGCTGCCAGTAAAAGAAACTTGCCCTTGTACATATGAAAACCTCCATCATCCTCATGGAGGATGAAAACTTAAAACAGAGTTATCACTTTTGCTCAGTTTCAACTAGTGAAATAATTCCATAGGTACATTTCTAGCACTTGCATGGCCTGTGCTCTTAAATAGCTTAGTTTATAGCTGGAACCAAGTGTCAGCAGGGATGAAATAGTGCAAGGAGATGCAAGCCCCTGCTCCTGCCTCTAGAGGGGCTGGAGGAGAGGCAGGTTTCCCTGGGAACTCAGAGAAGACTTGAGCCTGCTGTTTTGCATGGTCCGCCTTCCTGTAGAGGAAAGGATGGGGGTGGTAAAGAGAGCAGGAGGAGAAAATTGTGTGCAGAAAACTGTGCAGCCAGGTATATGTCTGCTCCTTTGTTCCCTCCCTCTAGTGAGAATGTCAGAGAAGAACTTTCTGATGAGAAGAAAGGAAAGGGTTCAAAAGAAGCAGGTCAGAGACAGCCAGGCCACAGAGGAATGATACTTAATCCTCTGCCACCAATGGCCGTTCTTTGCTCAAGAAGCTAAGCTGCAGGATTAGAGTGAAAAACAAGAAAACAAATGCATCATTTGATTGATACTCTAGCGCCTTGGTGTCATATTTTATGTAATTGCTGGCAAGACCTCATTTTTAATCTCTTCCTTCAATAAACATTCATGTGCCTCCAACAAAACAGAAAATATAAACTCATCTTTAACACATCCTTCTTCTCTAACAGACCTAAAGAATTCATTGAGTGTGTCTCCCACATCCGTCTGCTGTCGTGGCTGCTTCTGGGTTCCCTCACTCATAACGCAGTGTGTCCGAACACCTCCTCTCCCTGCCTTCCCATACCTCTGGATGCAGGTTCCCATATTGCAGACCATCTTATTGTTATCCTGATTGGATTTCCAGAGCAATCAAAGGTAAGTGATTTCTGCAAGATTAGGACCATGTGCATCAAAATTGCTAATGGAAACCCTTATCAGCCAATTATGTTTCTTAGAAGTAAATGCATCTTGTCACTTGCCCTCCTGTGGATATTAGAAAAGCAACTTTGTGCTAATGCCTTATTTAAAGTTGTTTAAATTCCCAGACTGTCTTTTTTTCTCCCTAAATTGTTTTCTGGCTTACTTTTATGAAGATAAATTATGGAGGCAGGCAAGAGTTGGCTTCCCAGGCTAGAAATATAATAAAAATTCTGTGATCAGTTTTCCAAACCAAGACTGAAGAGGAGAAAAACTTATACTCTAATTCTTCATGCACTCTTTCCAATTAAAATCTTTAGGGGTCCATGAAAATGCAACATGAAAATAAGAAGGCTAGTGGAAGCTCCCTAAAGCACACCCTGGAATCACCTGCACAGAGAAACTTTGTAAATCATAGAGACAGGTGATGTACTTAAGGGGATAAAGTAAGCTACTGATCCTGACTCTGCTTGTGCAAACCAGACACTCCTAACAAGCTACAATGGCAAAGTCCTTTTCCAGAGCTCAGACCAGTCCAGGGAGGTCCCAGTGGGTTTGGGGAAGTTGGGCTTTGGGCCAGGACAAGCTGATAAAATGGAGCACCCACCCATCTATGGTTGCCAAAAGAAATCAAGCAATCAATCAGTTTCTTCTATTTCAATCCAAATCTGTGTTTGATTCCTAACCAAGGTACTTATAATTTTGTGAGCTTGAGTATGTTACTTAACCTTTCTGAGCTCCTGTGTTCCATCTGTAGAGTAGATTGAGGGGATAATTTGAGAGTGATAGAAGTGATCTTTGGAAAGTCTTTTGTACTGTCCCTGGTATGCTGTAGGTACTTACTCAATGAATCATTACCAGCGAGGAAGGAAAACCCTTACTGCTGCTGCTGCTGCTACAAGTGTAATTATTAAGAGCTGGGAATTGTGTTCTGTATTACCTCATTTTCTCCTAACTCCACTTCTTGGAACAGGCTACAATTATTCCCACTTTACAGATGAGGAAACATCCTAAAACAGTAGAATGATTATTCTTCCTGATATGGTTTACGGATAGGAATGTCAGTTTCATTAAAGAGCAAGGGGGGTGAGTAGATTTGTTCTGCTAATGATGATGCCCTCTCTTGGAAAAGAGGCTTTGTTCTCTGAGCACACTCCCACCTACGAGGAAGAGCAGACTGTTCTAAGGTGATGAGTCACGAGTTTGTAACTGAGATAACTCCTGTGTGCATGGGCTGTGCTCCCTGGCAAGGCTGCTAGAGGCCCGCAGCAGCGCCCTGTCTTCTCCTCTCCAGACATCTGTGCTCCACATGTGCTCCCTCTTCCACGCATTCATCTTTGCTCAGCTCTGGACGGTATACTGCGAACAAAGTGCCGTAGCTACGAACGTGCAAAATCAGAACGAATTCAGCTTCACGGCAATACTGACAGCACTGGAGTTTTGGAGTAGGGTGACACCCAGCATCCTCCAGCTAATGGCCCATAACAAAGTGGTGAGTTCTCAAAGAAGACTCCCCTCTGGGGTACAGTCTCATAATGTCTAGACCACACTCAGTCCCTTCTGACACCTGTTCTTTTACAGATCTCAGTGGTCAGATTGTGTAAATACATCAGGGATTTATTTTGTTAATAAGATGGACATTCTACTTGCATAAGAATTTGGTTGAAAACAACACAAATGGTAGTCAAGAGATCTGTTGTACTTCATGGTGACACTTGAAAATTGCTAAGAGGTATATTTTAAGTGTTCTCATCCAAAAATAAGCATACAAGTAATGCATATGTTAAATATCTTCACTTAGTTATTCTACATTATATATATGTATCAAAACATCATATTATAGACTGTAAGTATTTAGAAACCCAAAGCAAGTAAAAAGCAAACAATTTTTATTTTTCCTGCCTAATGCCAAATAAACTTTATATGAAATTTCGACCTTTAAGGTTTTATTGTTCTATGAAGTCAGACAGTTAAAAGGGAGATTCAAACAATTTTTGGATTCCAAAGCAATTTGGGGAAATCTTAGCCAGTTAGGTCATCTTTTTAAGAGCGAACTGACCCCAGGAGTTCATTCTAGTCAGCCCAAACGAGCCTTACCTTTTTGGGTTGCCTTAGAAGTGATTTTTAAACTGCTCCCCAGATTTCAAATCCATTTTACTATTTATGGCTCACCTTAGAAAGGGGCTGCTCCAGACTGCATGGGAAATATCTGGARGATGCTTAGCCTAAGCACACGTCATTGATAAGGCTGGTCCTCACTGAGTCAGTTGGAGGGCATGGGAGGAATTTACAAGGAGTCTTTGGGTTCCAGTTGCTATGCCAGAGGAGGGTGCTCAGTCAGGAGGACGGCAGCCAGTGTCTTGCTTACAGGGGCACCACCAGTGGACAAGGAGTGGGGAACCCGGAGCAACCATCTGATGATTCCAGTATTCGCGAAACCATACTGCCCCGTGCACCAAAGGCATTTGGGACATGATTTTTTAGTTGATTGGATATTAATCTAGAAAATATTTTCTTTTAGCTCTAGTTAGGAAGGGAATTACACATTTTCTTCAGTTAAGCCCTTTCTTTGTTTTAGAGAAGCACATGTTGCAATTTTATAGAGGGAGAGGTTTTAGTTGAATGTAAAGAACATTATTTGAAAATTTTAGGCTTTACAAATTATTCTGACTGCTCCAATTCATTGGATCACAGATTCTAGCATTCTACTATGTTATTTTAAATAAAACACTGATATTAGAGGCTGAGACAGGAGTATGGCGAGTTCAAAGCCAGCCTCAGCAAAAGCAAGGCACTGAGCAACTGAGTAAGACCCTGTCTCTAAATAAAATACAAAACAGAGCTGGGGTGGTGGCTCAGTGGTCAAGCACCCTTGAGTACAATCCCTGGTACCTGCCCCCCAGAGCCCCCCCCCAGGAAAACAGTGAATTAGAATCTTACACTTTAATCTAGGTATTAAAACTCTCCTTCTGCTGTCATTACTTTTTTGATACCAAATGTTATGTGTTGCCAGTGAATTTTTTACAAATGATGTTTCAAATGAATTTAAATTAATTTTATTTTGAAAATCTTGTCGGACAATATAAGCCTATCTGGTAAAATCCTTCAGGAGTATTAAAAATCCAGCCTCAGGCATTTCCGATGAGGGATCTCATCTCCATTGTACTTTGGAACTGTCGTATTTCATGGCTCCCTTGTTCAGTAGAGAACAAAGCCTCAGAGGCAGATCTGCAGTAAGTTAAGCAGCCCTTCCCTGTGGGAAACAGGGAAGACAGGATCAAGGTGGAGGAAATGACCCAAGCTTTGTCCTCTGGTGTGAGTCCTAGGCTGTGCAGATTAGTGAGGTCAATGCCTGAGTGCCCTCCGCAACCTTGAGTTAGGTGATAAAGGAACAACAATTCCAAGACCTCTGGAGGGTTTTTAAATTCCATTTCCTGTTTGAGTTTTAGAGGTGAATGAACACCACTCTCTGTGGTTCCCTGTGGCCATTATGCAGAAAGCCTTCCTGGGCACAGGGGCATTAGGCGCCTGTGACTGTAGACTAGTTCATTATATTAAGTCGGTATATCACTGGGAGTGGAATTGACTTTCATGTTTGTTGTTTCAGATGGTAGAAATGGTGTGTCTCCATGTGATTAGTTTAATGGAGGCATTGCAAGAATGCAATTCAACCATTTTTGTCAAGGTAGGACAATCTTACAATTTTCTTATACACCATTTTATGTCGCCAAAAACCAATGTGGATTTATTTCAAATGTATGTTCCAAAGGAGAAAATAAAATGGATTTAGTTTTAACATTTAAAGTTGGGAGTGGAGGATTTAGGCTTCTTCAACAACCTTTTACCAGATGGTTCTTGTTATTTTTGCTTTTGTTCTACCACTGTGACCAACTCTTCCATGTCAGACCATGACTGCATGTGGCACAGGAATGAAAATATTACTGCAGAACACTGATCTGAAAATGACCCTATTGTAGTATAAATCAGTTGGTGGTACTTCATTTTGTGACAGATATCTGGAAAATCAAGGAATATAGTCTGTAATTGTTGACCTGCTCTCTGGTGCTTTTCTCTAAGATAAATGAATTTTTATTTTAAATATTATATTAAGTCAGTATACAGCATGTAATAATTCAAGCATATGTCTTCTTCCCAGGGACATTAGGAACAGACTAGTGTGGTGCACAGTTAAAAAGTAAAGTAGAACTTGGTTCTCACTCCCTTTGTCTTGCTAGCTCCCCCTTTATCGTGTCCTTTCCATCATTCTGCCTCTTTGTTTTACCTGTCATTCTTCTTTCCTCCTCTCTTACCTTTTCCACTTGCCGGAGTGTATCATTTTGGAACCTTAGGACTTGCTATTTCACTTCATGATTAATTTCATTCTTGGTTCAAGACACTTTTCATGTTAACTCACACTGTGATGAAGAAAAGCAGCCTTTTTTCAGGGAAAACTTGACTGTTACCAGAACTGTGCAAGGTCATTGGTTCAATGGTATAGAGATATGTTTTATCTAGCTCAATATAGCACAAGTCAATACTGTGACAGAAATGATGTGACTGACAATTGGATGCTTCTACCTGGTGTTATTTTTTACTGAAGTGTAATAATTTATATATGGCAAATTGCATGTATTTAAATGGTGCATTTTGTTAAGTCTTGACATATGTTACTCTCATGAACCCATCACTACAATCAAGATTTTTTTACCCCCCACAAAGTTTTCTTTTACTAATTTATAGTCCCTCTATTTATCACTTCCTGTCCCCAGACAGCTACTATTCTGTTTTCTGTCACATAGGTTAGTTTTCTATAAATAGTTTCATTCTATACTTTCTGCTTTCTTTTTCTCATAATGATGACATTGCAATTAATCCATGGTTTTCCATATATGAATAGGCCATTACTTTTTTAAAGAATTTTTTATTTGTCCTTTTTCATTATACATGACAGTAGAATGTATTTTGAAATATCATATTAAAGGAGTATAATTTCCCATTCTTATGGTTGTAAATGATGTGGAGTTACATAGATCGTGTATTTATATATGAACATAGGAAAGTTATTCTGATTCGTTGTATTATCTTTACCATTCCCATCCTCCATTCTTTCCCCTTTATTACCCGCCCCCCACCTGTCCAGTCTGGTGAACCTCTACTTCTCCCTCCTCCCTTTCCTGGTCTATTGTGAGTCAGCATCTGCATATCAGAGAGAATATTCGGCCTTTGGTTTTTAGGTATTGCCCTATTTCATTTACCATGATAGTCTCCAGTTCCATCCATTTACCAGCAAATGCCATAATTTTATTCTTCTTTATGGCTGAGTAATTTTCCATTGTGTACATGTACCACATTTTTCTTTATCCATTCATCTTTTGAAAGGCACCTAGGTTGGTTCCGTAGCTTAGCTATTGTGAATTTTATGACTGCTTTTTCTGTTTTTATGAATAACATCACTGGAACCTTAATAAGAATTGCATTAAATTTGCATAGCACTTTTGGTAGTATGGCCATTTTGATAATATTAATTCTGCCTATCCAAGAAAATGGTAGATCTTTCCATTTTCTATTTCTTCCTTTAGTGTTATGTGGTTTTCATTGTAGAGGTCTTTCATCTCTTTTGTTAGATTGATTCCCAAATATTTTATTTTTCCTTGAGGGTATTGTGAATGGGATATTTTTCCTAATTTCTCTTTCAATTGATTCATCACTAATATATAGGGATACAATTGATTTATTGGTGTTAATTTTATATCCTGCTACTTTGCTGAATTCATTTATGAGTTTTAGAAGTTTTCTGGTGGAGTTTTTGGGTTTTATAAATATAGAATAATGCATCAGCAAATAAGGATGGTTTTGGGTTCTTCTTTTCCTATTCATATCTCTTTAATTTCTTTCTTCTGTCTAATTGCTCTGGCTAGAGATTCCATAACTGTTGAAATCTGTGGGGAAAGAGGGCATCCCTGTTGTGTTCCTGTTTTTAGGGGGAATGTTTTAAAATTTTCTCCATTTAGAATGATGTTGGCCTAGGGATTACCATAGATAGCTTTTACAATGTTGAGGTATGTTCTTAGTATCTCAAGTTTTTCTAGTGTTTTGAACATTAATAGATGCTGTATTTTGTCAAATGCTTTTTCTGCATTTACTGAGATAATCATGTGGTTTTTGTCTTTTAGTCTATTGATGTGATGAATTATGTTTATTGATTTCCATATGTTGAACCAACTTTGCATCCCTGGGACGAACCCCACTTGATCATGGTACACTATCTTTTTAATATATTTTCCTATGCCATTTGCCAGAATTTTATTGAGAATTTTTGCATCTATGTTTGTCAGGGATATTGTTCTGAAATTTTCTTTCCTTGATATGTCTTTGTCCAGTTTTGCTGTCAGGGTAATACTAGCTTCATAGAATGAATTTGGAAGTGTTCCCTTCTTTTCTATTTCATTAAATAATGAAAGAAGTTGTTTTGTGGCCTATGATATGGTCTACTTTAGAGAAGGATCCATATGCTGCTAAGAAGAAAGTATATTCACTCTTTGAAGGTCTGGTAGAACTCATCTGAGAATCCATCTGGTCCTGGGCTTTCTTTCTTGGTAGGCTTTTGATGGTATCTTCAGTTTCATTTCTTGAAATTGATCTGTTTAAGTTTTCTATATCCATCTGGTTGACTCTTTTTAGGTCATATGTCTCTAGAAATTTGCTGATGTCTTCAAGATTTTCTATTTTATTAGAGTATAAATTTTCAAAATAGGTTCTGATTATCGTCTGTATTTCAGTAGTGTCCATTGTGATATTTCCTTTTTCATTGCAAATTTTAGTAATTTGAGTTTTCTTTTTCTTGGCTAAGGGTTTATCAATTTTATTGATTTTTTTTCAACTTTTTCTTTTGTTGATTTTTTATTGTTTCTTTTGTTTCAATTTCATTGATTTGAGCTTTGATTTTAGTTATTTTCTCTCTTTACTGCTTTGGTATTGATTTGTTCTTCTTTCCCTAGTGTTTTGAGATGTAAAGTTAGGCTATTTATTTGCTGACTTTCTATTCTTGTAATGAATGAGTGCAATGCAATGAACTTTCCTCTTAGCACTGCCTTCATAGTGTCCCAGAGATTTTGATATGTTGTATTGCTATTCTCATTTACCTCTAAGTACTTTTTTTTATTTCATCCCTGATTTCTTCTGCTATCCAGTCATCATTCAGTAGTGTATTATTTATTCTCCAGGTGTTAGAGTAGCTTTTATTTTTTATTCTATTGTTGATTTGTAATTTCATTCCATTGTGATCTGATAGGATGCAAGGTATTATCTCTATTTTATTGTATTCTCCAAGAGTTGTTTTATGGCCTATGATATGGTCTACTTTAGAGAAGAAAGTATATTTCTTTCTGCTGAGAAGAAAGTATATTCACTCATTGATGGACGAAATATTCTATATATGTCTGTTAAGTCTAAATTATTAATTGTATTTCTTAGTTCTATAGCTTCTTATTTAGTTTTTGTCTGGAATATCTATCCAATGGTATTTAATTTGAATTAGTGATGAGAGAGGTTGTTAATATCATCCAGTATTAGGGTGTTGTGGTCTGTTTACTTCTTGAAATTGAAAAGGGTTTGTCTGATATACATAGATGCTCCATAAATACTTATGATTGTTATGTCTTGTTGATGCATAATTCCCTTAAGCAGTGAATGATATTTTGTTTTCCATCCTTTTACCTTCAGTCTCTGCATGTCTTTGCCTGTGAAGTGAGCCTCTTGAAGAAAGGATATTGTTTGGTCTTGCTTTTAATCTAATCTGCCAGTCTATGTCTTTTGATTAATGAGTTTAGATCATTTATATTCAATGTTATTATTAATGAGATATGATTTTTATTCCCTGTCATTTTTACTTATTTCTAGTTTTTAATTTGAATTAGTTTCTCCATTGATTCGCTGTTCTTTTAGCGTAGTTTCTCCCTTTCCTGGTTTTCACTTTCATTTTTCATTTCTTCTTCATGTAATATCTTATTGGTTATATTTTTTGTAGTGCAGGCTAATTGTGAATTCTTTTAACTTTTGTTTAGCATGGAAAGATTTTATTTCATCATCAATTCTGAAGCTTAATTTTGCTGGGTATAGTATTCTTGGCTAATTTCCATTTTCTTTCAGAGTTTGGTATATATTATTCCAAGACCTTCTAGCTTTGAGGGTCTGGGTTGAGAGATCAGCTAAGATCCAGATTGCTTTCCCTCTCAATGTTACTTGTCATTTTGCTCTGGCATCCTTTAAAATTCTATCCTATTCTGTAAGGCATTTTTATTATAGTGTACCTTGGTGTAGGTCTGTTGTAATTTTGTATATTTGGCATCCTGTAAGCCTCCTGAATTTGATTTTCCATTCATTGTTTTTTTGGGGGAGGGTACCAGGGATTGAACGCAAGGGCATTCAACCACTGACCAGCCCTATTTTGTGACAGGGTCTCATTGAGTTGCTTTGCACCTTGCCATTGCTGAGGCTGGCTTTGAACTTGAGATTATCCTGCCTCAGCCTCCCAAGCTGCTGGGATTACAGGCATGAAGCACCATGACCCAGCTCCATTTTATTCTTTAGGATTGGGAATTTTCCTGATATTATTTCATTGAAAAGATTGTGTATCTCTGAGCCTTCATCTATACCAGTAAATCTTAAATTTGGTCTTTTCAGTTT